ACTTTCTGATCGCGATGCCCTGCCGATATAATTCTAGCCGTCAATTTTTCCCAGAATACTTTTTCTGAATACAGCGTGAGAATAAACATAAGACTTCTCTGCACAAGTAACAGGAGTGGTCCTCCCGTTTGGTTACGTCATTCAGAAAGTCTACAGGATCTCTTCAGTAAGAAGTCACTAGCATGAAACGCCCACGACCAGGCTTCTTTTAAATAAGATAACTAATTTGGTTTATAGCTAATTTGGACAAATTAGTTCTTCGAGGAATACAAAATTTACCCGTTTTCATAAATTCATGGCATATCCCGGTGAATAAGCCTGTGACATATGATTGGGGGACTTTTCTTTCCGTAAAAGTCTGAACCTCTGTGCAAGGCTTAAGTGCGAGGGAAAGACAGGCTTGCATTCAGAAGTTAGAATTGATTTCGAAGGCATGTTTTTACTATTAAAACAAAATTATGTGCTAAAATTGTGGTTCCCTTACATAAAAGAAGTGCCGGAGCCCTTTTATTTAGGGCTCCTGTGTGTTCCAGCTGAAATTATAATTTATCTCGAAAACTGAGAAGTGCCGGCGCAATTTAAGCTCTGCTTTTTGTATTAATTCCTGTATGGAAAATAGTTGTATAGAATCATTAGGATTTCATTCCGAGCGGGAGACTTGATTCTTAACTCCAAACCTTCCGACTGCTAGCCGAACGTGCTTCCCCATTACACGACAAAGGCAGTCTATAAGGGAAGGAGCAAACGTTCAGACGGTAGCATAAATGTCATGACCGTTTTAAGCTGAGCTTCGTTGCTGGGCAACCAGACCTTGCTACGTCACAAAAACTGGTTTAGAAGTTTTGGCATAAAGTTCTAACGTTTTCAACCTTGTACGAGTTGGTATAAGAGTCGACCAATCAGAGCAAACCGCGAAACCTATTGGGAAAGCGTGCGAGGAAAGATGTAAACACATCCACGCACGCGCAAATTTATCTTCTCTAATTGGCTACGGCTGTCATGCAGGTGCGAACGAAACTCCTGCATTTTATGCCTTATGACTATGCCTCTGTGACATTTATGCCACCGTCATTTCACCAATAGACTGACTGGGAAGGAGGATCTGTTGCTAGCCTCTGGTGGTGCCAAATTATTGTTCATTACCTTTCAGTTCGGGCGTAATTTAGAATCTTAAAGGATTATATTTCGGAGCGGGAGATGTGAAAAATGTGCAGTGCTCTCGCCGGGACTGGAACTCAGGATCCGACTTCTACCTGAACGTGCTTTGTAATTACGTCACGAAGGCAAGTGGTAAGGAGGAAATAAAACTCGAGTTTTTATTTACTAATATTTCGGACGATTAACGGCCTTCAGGAACGAATTAGGTAAAAGTATAGTTTAGGGTACCCCTTGGCGATTTTTGGCGGTACATTGATACCGATTTTGTGCAATTCTTTGACTTATTTTGGCTTGCGAAGCGCCAAAAATCGCCGCTACACAAAGCCAAAATAGCAAGACAAACAATTGCACAAACTCGGTATCCATGTACACATCCACTTATTTTCACACCGTATTGCACAAAAATGGCATTGCGCACTCCTTTGACTTTATCAATGTACACGTCGTCCTATTTTCACTTAAAAAAAAAATCGCCGTATTGCACAAAAATGTCATTGCTCACTCTTTTAACTTTATCCATGTACACGTCGACCTATTTTCACTTAAAAAAAATCCCAGAATTGCACAAACTTGCATTGCGCACTCCCTTTACTTTGTCCATGTACACATCGATATATTTTCACTTAAAAAGTCATAAGAGCACCAAATTCTACAATATAGGCAAAAAAGTACATAATCTCAATAAAATACATTTTAAACCAAACTATAAAATAACATAAAAAGAGGAAAAACATGTTATACATTTAAGCACTACCAAAAGCAAATATTCACTTACCATGATTTTCGAGTTCGCTTCGTACACCCAGAGCCACGTAAAAATCAAAATATCAATCATACTCAAATGACTTGTTTCAAACCAGGTACTCATTCTGATCGAACGCTTCACACCTTTCTTCCTACAAACCTATTCAAATCCATCTAAACGGTTTTAACACACACCACAAAAATGCTTACAAAACATCCCATGATACAAAATTTCCCAGAATCATGCACCCGATTACGTCACAATAGGGTTTCCATAACATTCAACTACTCAGGCTACCATAAATGAAACAACTTGGCGATAAATCAACTTCGCCATAATACAAGGGGTGCCTTAAAGTCTACTCTACCCACAAATTAAATTCGTGAATAGGGATTTCACTATTTTTGAATTTTATGTACAGTGCAAATATATTTACAACAATTTGGAAGATATATATATATATCTATGTTTCTTTCTTTTCTTTTTTTTTTTTTTTTTGTTTTTTTTTTTTTTTTTTCTTTTTTTTTTTTTCTTTTTTTTTTTTTTTTTTTTTTTTTTTTTTTTTTTTTTTTTTTTTTTTTTTTTTTTTTTTTTTTCTTTTTTTTTTTCTTTTTTTTTTTTTTTTTTTTTTTTTTTTTTTCAGGCCGTGCAATTCAGACATATTTGGTGAATAAATACGCTCCGGACAGCAATCTTTATCCTAAGGACCCACAGGCGAGAGCGGTAGTGGACCGACTCTTGTATTTCGATATTGGAACTCTCTACAAAGCTGAAGCAGAATATTTAGTAAGTGAAGATAAGTCTTTTAAATCAGGGTTTCTTAAACTGTGTGTCGCGGGACCTGCAGTAGGCGGTCGCCAAAAATTATAAGTTTTGCTATTTCTTTAACTTATTTTAATAATTTTACAATAACTAAATATTTTTACGCTACGTATCGGAAAATAGATAGATAAGACGATACAGGCAAAGAAAAAAACGAAAACGTTTCGACGCATTCTTTTTATAATATAAAGCTCATTTTCCTTGCTTTGCACGTGACGCTGTCATTTCGTCTATTACTTATTTAACCTTTTCACATTGTTCTATGTCTTAAAATTAGAAATTAAAGCTAATGACCTAAAACTGCAATAGTATATTACAGTAACAAGTGAAAAAATTGAGTTTCACTCACGCGTGTGTCGGATTTTCGCAATACTTATGGGGGTCCCACAAAATTTTTGTAAATATGGGGTCCTAGGGATCGCGAAAAAATTGATTAAAAGGGGTTGCGACTGAAAAAAGCTTAAGAAATCCTGTTTTAAACAAATATTGAAAGTTTTTATTTTTATGAATAGATGTGATTATTTTTTGCGATCTAGTCTCGGCGTATTTTTTTGTTTTTTCGTTTTAATTTCTTTTTATTTAGTTAGTATATTTTCTACGTTGATTTTGTTTATTATGCCTTTAATTTAATCTTGGTGTTGTAGCCTATTGTATTGCCAGTCTTTAAGTATAATTTTGTAGAGCTTATAGTTATCTGTCGGTTGACAAAGAACTTGCCAAATTTCTACACCACAGCTATTTTTACAACAAAAATTATCAAGATGGTGATGTTTGAAAATTTCTCACCTACTTGAGACATTCTAGAAGGATTCTGAAACCGCATAAAGTTTGTCTTTCTCTGGTGCAGTTATTTAAGGAAATCTTCAATTTTTTCTCTGCATTTAACTGAATTACTGAAAGATATTCTTAAAAATCGTATCGCTGAAGAGTATGATCTGTTCGTAAAAATTTACGAAGTTGTTCTTACTTAAATGTACCGGTAGTTGAACTTTGTAAATTTTCTCAAATGTATCCTGTTTTAATTTTTTAAATTTTAAACAGCAACTATTCATTCATAACCGGACATAGTGGAATAAAAATTAACTTGGCAACCTTATGTACTAATTTATTATAGGCTAAATAGTCGAAGACTGTTTACTGTTTGGAAGGAGAAAAGAATGACGACTCTCTTACTTAAATCAAAATTTTCCAAGAAAAACTATACATATCCACTTCATGCGAAAAAAAGCTGCGAAAAAACCCATTGTAGTCAGTTCATTCCGCTTATAGGAATAAGCTTGACATAAACAACTAGTATTACCTCATCTTTGGCTTTTGAACTGTTTTCAAATTGTATGCAAATATTTTATTGCATATTCAGATGCATAACATAAAACTGTATGCAAATACAGTTTTGACTTTTATCTTATAAATTGTATATAACTAGAAATAAATTTTACAAAAGTAGGTTGTGTTCATAAATTCGATATAACAAGTAAAGTTAGGCTTTGATTGTCTCAAAATTTCACATGAAGTTAACTAGATTGAAGAGGCTTTAGAAATTCTGTATAAAGTTTATCCTATCTTTTTGAAAAAAAAAAAAAAAAAAAAAAAAAAAAAACTTATAAAAGGTAATATGGAGGGAACTGAACTGCAAGTTTTGAGTCCATTGTTTTTCTGTTGTACTGCTTATCACATTGAAATAGACCCACCTGGACCGAGCGGTTAAATGGCTGAACGCTGGTAGTTCCGACCTGGGTTCAATTCCGGGCATGGTCATTTTCGTGGTTTTCCCCATGTGTAAACTGTATACGAACCCGTTTTCCTTAGGAAGTCCTCCACGAAGCCACCGGTTCCCGTACGCAGATAGCTCTAGTGTGCTTTACCATAATTAACTAAACCAACCAAACAAAACCATATTATAATTTTTTTAATAATTGAAGACTAAATTTTTCGGAATAAATAATTACATAAATATATAATTTCGGCCTCGTAAAATCTTTTATTAAAATTGAGCAATTAAATACAATTGATTAAGATATCAAAATTTGATTCGAAATTTCATATTGTACTATATCTCAATCGATAAAGCTGTACTTTATCATTCTTAATTTGTACTCAGTTTGTTTCCTAATTTATAGCATTATTAACTAGTTCTGCTTGTCTCAAACTTCCTTTGCCATTATATCACATGTCTGTGTCACTATGGATGATTGTATTACCTCCCTTTTATTTCCTTTAAGCAGTTTTGTCATAAGTGTGCCCTTAAAAATAATCATTCTTCACTTTCTCTTCTTTGCAGTATCCTCAGCTTTTCCAAGGTAAACCTGCCGATCCCGAAAAGGATGAGGTTTTCAAGAAGGCTTTAAGATTTTTGGAGCAATTTTTGTCCAAAAATGATTACGTAGCTGGAAATAACATCACGCTTGCGGATCTCTCAGTCGTTGCAAGTCTGTCTTTTGCTGCTGAGGTAATATAAGCTGTCATTTCAATTTTTTTCCCTAGCGTACTTGCGTTTTCAGTTTTAGTTTTAACGCTAAAGATGAAGAGTTGTTTTATTCTTCACTGTCGCTACAGCATTTCTCAAAAGAATGCTAAACGCACATTCGTCAAAGTTATTTAATTAACAAAAGTTACGCTCAAACCATCAGCCATTAACTGTAATACCGCTGTCTTATTAAATACAAGGGTTGGACAAAAATATGGAAACACCTTTAAAAAACATGTTTCTTTGCTTAATATGGTGTAGGAAACCCGTTGGCATCAAAACAGCTTGCAGTCTTCTCGGAATGGATAAATACAGTTCCTGTACGTTTGCCAAGGGAATATTATACCATTCTTCCTGCAAAACGGTGGCAAGTTCAGATAACGATGTTGGCGGTGGATAACGAGAACGCACTTTTCGTTCTAATGTAGACCACAAGGTTCGATAATATTCAGGTCTGGTGACTGTGGTGGCCAGGGGAGATGGGACAACTCATCCTCGTGCTCAGAAAAACCAGTCCTGGACAATGTGAGCTGTGTGAACAGGGGCTTTGTCGTCTTGGAAGACACCATCACCATCGGGGAACAAAGTTTGTACCATGGGATGAACTTGATCGCCCAAAATGTTCACATAAGTCTTGGCAGTCATGTGCCCTGACACAGTTATCATGGGGCTAGCAGAGAACCACGATATGGCTGCCCAAACCATAACAGAACCCTCCCCCCCATGTTTCACTCTTGGCAACAAGCAAAGCAAGTATTATAGGCTTGAGATGGCGTTTACCAGACGTAAACTCGGCCAGAAGTGGGAAACAATGTGAAAGAAGACTCGTCAGACCATATTACTCGCTTCCACTGCTCTATAGTCCAGGCTTTATGACTTAAACACCACCTTTTCCTGTTACGGGTATTAGCATCACTGATGAGTGGCTTCTCAATTGCAGCAGCACGGCCAGCAATTCCCCTGTTTATGAAGCTCCCTTCTAATTGTTTTTGGTACTCATAGGGTTCGGTAACACAACATTCATTTCAGCAGTAACTTTTGCAGCTGTGGTCTTCTTATTTTTCGTCACAATTGCCCTTAATGATCGTCTGTCACGATCACTCAGGACACACTTTCGTCCGCGCTGTGATTTAGCAGATGATGTTTTTCCGCTTTTGAAATATGCGGAATAAATCTTCGATACAGTACCTCTTGAAACACTAAACGCCTCGGCTACCTTGCTTACGGAAGCACCTACCATACGTGCTCCAACAATTTGCCCACGTTCGAAGTCTGTTAACTCTGACATAATGCAATGACAACCTCACATAACAGTACTCCGACAACAACTGAACTGTTTAGCACATTTACGAAGTTGTATAGGTGGCGTCAGTAATCAAAAACGCCACCGCCACCTACATATTTCATTAAAATCAATTTTTCTTTTTAAACATGCATTTCACAAGGTGTTTCCATATTTTTGTCCATCCACTGTATTTTGTAGTGTTGTATACCATTGCATTAATCTAGGAGAACGTCTGTAGAAGGGTAAAAAAAAACTCTTATGTCTGATAATAAATATGAAATAAGGTTCACAAAAGAGAAAGTGTCCTTGTTTAGCTTTCTCATCAAGAAGATTTACGAGAGTTCACCCCCAAGAAAATGAGTATTAGCCCCATGTGGTGGTGGGGGAGGCAACAGACACAGACAAACCAACAGCCTTGGTTTGTGATTAGCAGTCAGGCTCCATTAATTGTCCCGGACGCATATAAGTATTCTGTACCGCGCCACGCACATAGAGAAAAATCCCTTCTCGTCATTGGATATGGATTCCGATGACATTTCCTCTACGCTTAGGAACGCCTTGACTTTGCTTTGGGTACACCTCCACAAGTGTTGCGATTATTAATTCGTTATTTCGTGTTCATTATAGTATATCCATTCTCTGCAGATGCAATCTCCGAAAGCATGAAACAAGTCATTTTCGGTAAATTTCAAAAACGACGTTTGGGAGCTAAGATAGTATACAGTAAATTCACAATATTTATAATCAGTCTGAAAAGTAAAATTTATTTTTGAAGTTGGACTAAGATTTGGAACAGAGAAACAGAGATGCGTATTTTAAATTGAATAATATTACTTACTGAATACAGTCAAAAGTCGTTAAATCCGAACTCGTCGGGACTTCGGCTATTCCGGATTATCGATTTTTCCGGATTATAGATCATCGGTTTAAATCTCGTAAGATGGCATGCAGAAATTCTAAAATTAAAAATATGAAACCGTAATTTATGAAATAAAGAACAATTATAATATCTAAAGGCTATCAAAATTTACAAAAAAAAGCTTAATATTTATTTGTTTACTTTATTAAACATTTCTTTCAATGTAAGTTGTTTTAAGTTGCTTCGTTTTATGTGATAATACTTTCTCTTTAATTCTATAAACAGACGCAATTTCTTGTTCAGTTACAAAGTTCCGCTGTTCAAGTCCCGTTAATTGTTGTGCCGAGAATACAGACTAACTTGTCAATCGAAATTTTTTCGTTTTCACTAACCTCTGTCACATTCTTCATGTCTTTATCCATTTTTTGCAGCAATTCCACTTTTTGTTTGATGGACGTCGAAACATACTTTCGTTTTGTACGATCCTTTGGGAGCTCCAGAATCTGAAATTCTATTTGACATAATCGGAAGTTCAAGTTTACCTTTATAAAATTGTTCTTACAGTCTGCAAAAAATAATAAGCCGGATCCAATTCGAAGATTAAGGAACAACGCAATCATCAACATTAACTGAAATAGATAATTAGATAATTTTAGATTATACCGTCCGTTATACATAAAACGCGCACGCGAAAACGTATTCTGCGCTTGCGCACATGCATATGCGTATGTAAACGCCTATGCGCATGTGTCAACGCGGCGCATGCGCAGAAAGTTTTTAGCTTTAAGGTCCGGATTATAGATCATTTCGGATTATGGGTGTCCGAATTAACGACTTTTGACTGTATTGACCATTTTTTAATGTGTAACATCTTTTGTACTTTTGCATAAAAATGGTGTTTGTCGTAGAAGTAAGTTCCCTTTCTTATACACGTGTATTAACTTCAGTGACAATAGTGAATGCACTTTTTTCTTTCATTTAAGGCAACAGCATATAAATGATATGGACATTAACATGGAAATAACATAACATAACATTTGGCAAAGGAAATATATTTTCTGCAATGTAAATGGAACAGAATGCAACAAAATTGCAATAATATAATTACTAGCATACAACGCCTTAATAGTTGAAGCGAGATCGGCGTGTTTTGTCTTTGCACTAAATTCTTGAACTCAGCTATCTATATAATCAAAGTGCTTAATTCTGATATTAACAGAATCTTTTAAAGATTTTATAATTCCATGACACAGGAAGCCATCTGCAGAACGCTGCAGCTAAATTTTTTCATTTCAAAGAAAACAAACGATAATTTTCACGCATCCGTGTCACTCATGCGAACCATTCATCGGAAACAAAACCGTAAGAATCCCGTCTAAACCGGCCATTTTGACAAGAGAAAATGATGTGGTCGGAAAGTATGTCCAATCACAAGACCGGATTTTCCCTACGCCCGTGGCTCGGTATAGAATGCTTATATGCGTTCCCCGGACGTCCTGATGTAAAACTGCTAGCTCTGTAACTAAAGCAGTCCTAGGCACAACTCAGCAAGCCTGTGGATAACTTTTAAACCAATAAGATAGAGGTTTGTGGCAGATGCTTTTATGAATGAGAAAGGTTAAGCATTGTAAACAGAAGAATCGTTATATTTAACTGTTGTCTCAATATGCTCTTAGATAAAAATTCTACAGTCAAGGTTCATAATATGACATTAAAAATGCTTTATGTTACTTTAATCATAAACAAAACATGTCTTGCATATTTTCCTTAAATTAAGCTAGATTTAATTATTTCGTTGATAACAAAGAAACCCAACAATGCCAATCAAATTTTAAATCTTACTTGAATAAAATTTGGTCTTCACCTCCTTCGAAAGTATAGTTTTTGCACTTTCCAAAATATTGCAGGCTTGCACTGTAGTTGAAATGTTCCTTCAGAATCTTCTAATCAAAACCTAAAGCTGGCTTGATTATCCTTTACGTGATTAACGTAACAGCGACCTTGCCATCTAAGGAAACAAAATATCTGCTTTTAAAGGTTTGGGATTGTTTAAGGGAAGGACGACACTGTTTTCAGTTGAAAGCTTCCTGTCCGTGAATTCGGAGAAAGTCGTGAAGCTTTCTTGGGCTTTACTGCATCAAATCAATGATCTTTCTAAATTTTAGGGAAACTTGATTGACTGATTTCAGTAGTGGCAAATTCTCGATATTCAGTGTGTGTATGTGTGTTAAAAGGGGAAGGGAGATTACCAACATATATTTCATTCCATTTCTTTTTTCCCCCTCTCCTCTGCTTTTGGGCAATTTGAGGTTTTCCACTGCTATAAAGCCTGTTGCTTTAAGTGGAGGATACTGGTTATTATAAATCAAATTGTTCTCAGCGAAGACTACGCATGGCAGTCTGATGGAAACGAACAGCGCACTATACGTTTCCATTGCCACTTCCAGGGTTACGGTTCAGTTAACGGTGTAAGCGCTAGGATCGATACATAAAATGTAAGAAAGGACTGCACCGAAGTGGGGGACCAAATTTCGTTCAAAGTCCACCAAGTATTTTAAGTTTCTGTGTAGTTACAAAGAATGCTAACTTTAGTCATGGTGTTCGGTTACCTTAATAATTTTTTATTCCGTGAAATATTAATTAAAATAACAAATAAATTAAATAAGAGAAGGCAGTGAGATGGAATAGATCGTGAGACATACCTTCATGTCGGAAAAATTGAAATTTGATTTTCTTTAATGTTAAAAGTGGTTTACCCGGCGGGGGAAAAAAAAAAAAAAAAAAAAAACCTCAAATTCCACAAGCTATTTTTAATACATTGTTAATTCTTTGCTATTTATCTGGTATTTTCTCCTTTTTTATTGCTATTTGCTAGTAATCAGTTGATTTAATAAATAAATAAATAAATTTTTATTCAAGTATAGACCTTGATGCAATATAACTAGGTTGCTGCTAACTTACAAAAAATGTTTACCTCTTAATTAACGCAATTAATTAGCTGTATCATGAAGTGGATTTCTTCTCATTAGTAATTAAAAGGTAAAATTGTTTATTTTTTTACGTGGTCATATTTTTTAATACAGTGGTTTTATTCGCAGCTTGCTGACTACAGTTTCGATGAATTCCCAAAAGTCAACGCATGGTACCAGAAGGTGAAATCCGAAATTCCTGGCTACAAGGAAATCAACGATGAACCTTTACAGCAATTCAAACAAATCCTGAAGTCAAAGAAATAAACATGTTTAGGATTTCACACTTTAATGATTTCGCAGTCAGTTTCCCGCATTTTTGAAAAGCACCAAACATGTCAATTTTACCATTGAAATGCTGATAATGTCTTGTTATATTTCGATTTATAATAAAGGTCAAGTACTACCACTCATCCCCGTTGTACTTCTTGGTAATCATACAATTTACTACATAAAAACGTACAAGGCCAATTATTCATGCACATTGTATCCCTGAAGGACAATATTTGTCTTCCTTTCTTCAATGGCTGATCAAATAGTTAGCCTCATTGTGAAAGTTCTTTGCTCATTTCCTCTGTAAACGCAACTGTAACTGTTGAAAATTTTTACAAGGACAGCAGGCTCAGAAATAAATGATTTCATTTGTTTAGAGAAATGGCAACGTTTGTTAGGTTTGATTACCTGAAATTAAACTGAGTAGGGAAAAAAAATTCGAGTAATCGAAAATTCGTTTTGTAAGAGAAAAGAGTAACGTTAATTTTGATATTTAATTCAACTTACAAAAGTTAATATTGGTGAGTTGCAAAATTCAAACTTATAGCTAACTGCTTATTCATCTTTAGTTTTCACCTTAAGAATATATTTTAAAAATAATAAAAAATTTAAATTCTCTAAATGAAATAAAAAGTACATTTTGGAATTTCGGTGGTACTTTTTTTCCTTACCTGCAATTTTCTTAGTTTATGCCATATAAAGCTATAATATGTAAAATTTAAAAATAAAATTTTACTCTTAGAATGATCTCTAAAAGTTTTTGTTTCACAGAATTTTAAAAATCCTGAGGATTTTATAATAGAATATTTTCTAATTTTGTGGAAAGACTGAAGGAGGAAACTAAAATATCACGCGAAACTTCTGTTGTAGATTAAAATTTCTGGATTTCATGATTTTAATAACATATCAATTTAGATGGTTGAAACCCGAGTCTTTCCATTCCCACGTGCTTTGACATTTTTCCTTGCTTTTCCACCGAAATCATACTTCATAAAACTGCTTCTAGCTCTTTCAACATTTTAAGATTTATTTTTATATATTTTTCAAAGCAACCGAAAGTGTTTCCGCATACAAGACGCAAGGCAAGGATTTCTCCTATTACTTGGTGAAACTTAATTTCCCTTGGATTTTCATATTCTCTTAAAATGGGGGGAAAAAATCAAATTTTCACTTCAATATAAACAGTTAAATAAACAATATATAAATTTTAAATGTCCTAAATCAACACGCATAATACACATGTATTTATATCTTCCAATAAAGACATAATTTAGAATTAAAAATCTAATCCGATGTCTTCTGCATTTTTAGATTTGGCTGTTTGATTGTAAGCTAAAGTTGCAGAGGGAGGGGGGGTGGAGAATCAAAGTTTTCACATTACGCCCAAAGTCCGTTTTTTTTTCGTTTTGTGTGTTACCTTTATTTATTAAATATGTTCTCCGCACTTAAACCATAAAATTAAATTCAGCAATATCGCAAAATAATTTTAAAATGAGCATATCTTTAGAATTTCCGATATGCAGTCTCGCGTGCTGGAGATAAAAATGTTTTTTTTTTTCGTACAGTGTTACCATTCTCGCTTTGAAATTGTTGAGTTTGTTAATCAAAAACTCGTTAAGTATTACAAAATATGAAATCTATAATAAAACAAATTCCAAATTAGGGCTTCCAGATGCCCATATTCGGTGGAAGATTACGTTATTCAAAATTTGATGGCCCTAGGTACCGTTGTTTTATCACAGTGCGAGAAATATACATACATTTATGCTGATTCTTCATTATTTAACTCCTTTAAATATAACACTGGAGGACAATATTTGGTGGCAACATTCTGGAAAATGATACGCCATTTTTAGTGATTCAGTGCAAAATGCCAAAACAAAATTAATAATCCTTCTGATCAAATTACTCCTTTGGATTAATAATGACAGCAGTGAAGTACCCCTGTCCAAGATATACGAGTGTACATTGGCTCCCAAAAGTGTTCCTGCACTTTAAGAATTTGTAGAAAAATCGCTGCAGCCCAGAACTGAATTCGAATATAAAGCCCAATATTTTCCCTATCTCCATGCAGTTTTGAATAAAACTAAGCTTTTTATATACTGACTTATTTTCTTTTCTAAAATTAAAAAATCTGATGTATACACCAAATGACTTCCTTGTACCGAATATTAAATTATACGCATTTTTTCCTGCATTACATTTAAACTTATTGAATTAAATTTACTTCATCAATAGTGCATAAAGTACAATAGTATAAATGCACTCTTTAAAATTCACTATATTTATTTATCATATCGGGACTCTGGCACTAGGTACACTTAACAGCGCGACATCTCGTCCATTTTATAAGTCATAATGCACAAAATTTGTATTATCTGAAGAATTATCTAATCGTTGCCACATGTTCTATTCATATACTATAATAAATCTAAAGCAATGTATAAAAGAAGTTAAACAAATGAAAAAAAGTTTTTCACAGACGATTCAGCGCTACTTACCTAATACACACACACTACTCATTAATATTCTCCTTTGTTCGAGACAGACTGGCGACAATATTTGCTGCTAAAACGAAATGCTTATTTACTCGAATTTCTTTAGAGATATAGAATGCTTAGAGATCTTATTTAATTAATTCCGTTCTCACTTCGCAGCAACATAAAACCTCAAAATATCTTAACACCAAATACAGTTAAAACAATCAAAAAATTTTTTTAAAATTAGTTTCTATGCAAAAACAATTCGGCCAGCAGGCAACAAGGCAGATTTTTCGGTGCGCAAAAATGAAAGTTTAATTCTGTTACCAATCAGCAAAAAGACACTGAACTCACTATTCTGTTAAGTTTCAAATGTAAACAAAAATTAGGCTTAGCCGCACTTAAACAACTTTTAAATTAAAGTTACCGTTAGCTTCTTTTCGGTGATAATGCTCATCACCCTTCTTCTGCGATTCATCAATCAATTTTTACACTATTTTGAAAGCTGATTTATTTTTCAAATTGGATATAGCGAAGGAAACTTTCAGCCCCTTGATAATCCTTATAGAGAGCCTTGACCGTGGTTAAACACGGATTAAAAAATATCTTGAATTTCAAGCTCATTTTCAATGGTCTAACTTGAAACCTATAAAAAATAGTGACCAATTTTGCTTGACTAATTTGGTTTAGTGACAAATATTTCTAGATTTTGTGATTCTTTGCTGAAATAAATTTCTTCCATTGTCAGGCAGTTCTGCAGTCATGCTAAACCCACTGATAAATGCCATGTAAAGCTTATTGATAGATAACTTCCATTGTAACAATGAACCTTTTTTGCACCTCTTTCTTTATCAGCCTTTTGAAATTTTATATGAGATTCTAAACCTTTTATCACTAGTCTCTTCAGAATTATCTGGATTGTTTGTCTTCAAGTGTCACTACATTTTAACTATATAAATCTACAGAATTAAAAATGAGAAACAAAATCAAATAATAGTAATAAAAATAACAGTTAAATAAATTAAATAACAGTAAAATAAAAAATATGCACTTAGCACTCTGATCACCAATAATCCTACACTTCTTGTATACACAGTCACACTAGATTCTAATCCTTGACAATTGAAAAGCTGCCTTTGGCTATTCAAACTATGCTCAGTTAAGATTCCTGTAGCATGTATAGTATTGCAATGCCAATGTAGAGTATAACAAAAACTGCTAAAGAAAAAGTCAATCTTCTATTAATAAATAATAACTAATCGTTTTTTCTTTTTACAACTGAATTGGTAATGCAAGTAACAAAGAAATTCATACAACAGGTTGATGGCATTTGGCGAGTCTAACCAAGCATAGCCAAAAGCGGCTTTTCAATTATCATAGGCTAGACTCTTTTGACAGTCACACCTACTTCCCCCACTAAGAATACAAATCAGGAAAAAAACTGTTTTCTCTTTTATGATGTATGTGTTATTTCCTTCTCTCTTGCAAAACACTTAACAATGTTATGGGGAACTCTGGTTGGGAAATGCTGATCTACTTCACTCTAACAAAAGTGTAATGCCTCCAACATGCTGATACAGCCAGTGACAAACCTACAGCTATCGAGACTCGGGACAGAAATCTCCTTGTTGATCAAATATAGCTTTCAATCAAAACTCTCACAAAAAGCAACTGATACACACAATGTCAGAAAAGTTTTTAATGCCATATATAAGTTATGGACTGATTACTGGAAGTCCACTTTCAATATAAATTTTAACATTTTCAATGCAGACCACTGTTTAGCTTTGCCTTTTCAACTTTTCCTGCTTGAAGATGACACAAAGGCTGTTTGTAAATCAAAACTTCCGAAAAGAAATGCAAGCAAATTAGATGCAATAATTCTAATATGCATCATTTCTATTGTTCAATCCTATTCAATATTCCTATTGAAATTCTGCTAAACCCCTACTACTATTTGTATATAGGAAATACTATTTTTATTGTCATCATAAATGATCAAATATATTATAACAAAAAATTGTGCAATTAATTAAAGCTATTTAATTCAAAAAGGATATTTTCACATATTTCATTTTTAATTTTTACTCTATATGATGCAGAAGAGCAATAAAGATGAAAAATCACTGCCTTTGAATACAGGGAATAATCTACTCCTCCTAATTTGGTACAAGATTACATTCAGTTAATTTAAATTTCCGTTCATTTGGAAATCCAATTTCAACACCACTTAAAATCATGAGACTACTAACAATTAATTAAATTCTTCATTATACAAACTAATCATAGGTGAAAAATATTTATTTGCATCCATTGCTGTAAAAAATAGAAATCCTCAATGATTAAGTTGACTACTACACAAAGATTTGAAAAAAAAAAAAAAAAAAAAAAAAAAAGAAGAAATCCTATGAAATGATATATTGTTATCACAGATGCATGGAAAATTTCTGGAAAAGTAGGTAAATCAAAGAAGCTTAAACATTAATTTTAAAATTTTACCTGAAAAGAGAGAAGAAAGTTAAATAAAACTGTGTCATGAAATAGAAATTTTTACATTAACAATAAAAAGTTAACAGAATGCAATTCAACAGTTCTTTCTGAATGGTAATAAATGAAATACTCCTCTTTATGTAAGAGGACCTCATAAGATTGATTATCCGCGGAATTGGGTGGCGCAGCCGCCGCAGATAACAAAAATCGCAGATAATCCGAAAAAAAGCTAGAAACGGGTATAGCAAAAGAGAAAACAATCAATTCAACTTTGAAAAATCGTTTTATGTACAATAAAACATAAAATAAACAGCAGGAAATGTTTAACTAACACTTAATATTTTAGTATATCACTCAAAACTAACCTAAAATGCATTTTGTTAATGAAAACAGAAAAGTGCTTTGTACTTACGAGAGGCGTCAAGGATACACAGAAAAATTAAAACATATGTACTGTTTTAATACTGTAATGTATTATGTAATTACAAGAGCATAACTGTAAAACTACACCTTTTTGAAGAAATCAGTCATTTGTGTTTGCTTCTTGCTTTGGAAGCATTTTCTCTTGATCTGAGATTGCATTTTTCGTAGCATAAGTTTCTTCGGCCAACTCCGTGTCGTCTTGTTCTTCCAAATAGCTCAGTAATCCGTCGACTTGTGCAAAGCCACTTCATGAGTCTTCTGCATATGCACAGTGGGCTCTTCTTCGCCTTCACTTCACTGTCCTTCATTCTCGGTCTCTCCCTTGCTTTCTTCACAATTTCGTCATCTGTCAAGCGTTCGAAGTCAGGTTCGTTGACGTCACACTCCAACCACTCGTTAATGTTTTCAGCATCGAACGTTCTCACCACCCGGAAACTGTTTTCACCATATCGGCAAAAGTTGCCGTGGGCGTGTCTACATCTTCATTCTCTTCTTTCACAACTCAAAGGGGTTAGGTTGTTGTTTGGCTTCAACATTAGGCATGAGTTTTCTCCATGATTTATGAGGGTTGACGGTTTCACTGAGTCCCAAGCAGATGGAATATCGTAGATGCTGTCCAAGATTGTGTAGTGTTTCCCAAACTCTTTCATATCATAACCTTCTTCAATTTTGGTCATTAGCAGCTTGGTTTGGTATGTTCTCTTCATTGTTGCAATGACTCCTTGGTCCATGGGTTGGATTAGCACAGTAACGTTTGGGGGGGGGAGAAACGTTGCAAAAATTTGTCCATCAGAAGACTTTAGCATGCTTGTTGCTGGGTGAGAAGGTGCGTTGTCGATCAATAGCACAGCTTTTTCGATTTAAGATGTTTACGCACTTGAAGAACAAAGATTTTTTCGAACCATCTTGAAAAATGTGTCGGTTCATCCATTCCTTTTTTTTTTTTTTTGTTTAAAGTAATCAATGGGCAAATTTTCTATCCTAGTGCCTTTGAAAGATCTCGGCGTCTTTTTTTTTTTTTTTTACTTTCCAATGACAACAAGTCTATGTCCACAGCTAGCGTTACTGCAAGATATGATAGTGATCCTTTCCTTGCTGCTTTTATGTACCGCCGCTTTACTTTCACTTTCAGATGCTAAAGTGCGAGTGGGAAGATATTTCCACAAAAGTCCCGATTCGTCGGCATTCTAAATTTGTTCAAAAGATAGCTCTTCTTTTAAAACAAATTCTTCAAATTCATGGCGGAAATCATAGGCTGCTTGTTAGTCACCACTAAGTTTCTTCCCATGAAGTCCAATTTCTCGAATTCCATGTCGCTGTTTAAAACGAGTGAACCAGCCAGAAGAAGCATCAAAATTTCCTTTCAGGCCTAACAACTCAAAAAAGGTTTTTGCCTTCGCCGCAATGATAGGACCATTTACAGGAGTAGGAGTTTTTCTTTTCGAACTTGAGCTAACCACTCTGTCAATGCCGTGTCTAGCTCATCAAAGGTAGAACCTTCACACTTTTTCGCGTTTTCTTTGCGGAAGCACTATCCGACATTGATGCAAAGTTCACCAGTTTGTCTTTTTTTGCTTTAGAATGTCACGCACTGTTGTTTTCCGCGATTCTGTAATCCAATTCCATATGCTACCTTGTAGCGCGTTTGCTACTTTGGAAATTATTTCTAGTTTTTGGCGCTATCGTCAACACAACCTTCTTTCATTTTCCTGACATTTTAAATCGAGTAACAAAAACACAAAAGCACAAGCACTGAATACAATAAAAAGATAAGAAATTTAACTCGGACCGGTTCACAAAACACTATTAGGCTTAAACTAACAATGGCGAGTGGGAGTGTCAGTAAGATTAAGACGAGAGGGCGGTGGAGCGGGCACTGCAAGGGTGAGTAAGAAATCACTTACTCATCAGAGGGGAAGGTTCCGAGAAGGCCTGGGATATTTTTGCTATATTGTCTCTGCTTTACAAGTAAAGGTTGCAAAGAGACAGAAATTAATATTTCCATAAAAATAATGTTTAAACAAATAACTAGACAATTATAACAAGTTCCAGAAGACATAATACATCTAACACTTTTAATATAGCCCATAGTTCATTATGAACATTTAAAACATCAAACAATTGCCAATAATATAAAATTAAATTTTCCCCAATTAAACAATTTCAAAATTGTCTTTTAAAATTTATTTCAGAACCTCTATATTATTTTTACAGTTTACACATGCACTGAAAACTGTAAGATAATAATTACACAACGGTTCCTGAGTTTACGAGACTATTATAAAACTGGCATATAAAGAATTCTTCGCTATTAAATTTGACCTTCCTTTCAATTGATTTATGAATATATTCAATTCACCATGTATTTGAATCTTTTAATTAAATAGGTGACTAAGTGCCAAATTTTTGGAATTGCTCTTTAAACCTTTTATTGTAAAACGAGTATAAGGCACAAATATATATTGGTCGAGACGTCACCAAACAAATGAGAACACTTTTAACTCATATTTTGATTATTAGATTATCTTCATATGCAGATAATATTCAAATATCAATGAACATCAAACAGAAAAAGACAACACATTTGACATGTACTTGTCAACCTATTTATTTTTTAAAGTTCATTCCAAGTATTTTCATGGAGCTGCTGATTTAGAAATAAATACAAATAACCTTATGGATATTGTTTAGCATAATGCAAATGCTTCATTTATTCAAGATTTGACAAGACAAGTTATATTACTTAGGTATCATATAAAATTAAAAACAAAATCTTCTTTATGCAAGAATTAAAAATCTAAAATTTCAAACTGCAATGATTAAAATTCAGAAACAGTTTTATAAAAGCAAACTAGATTTAATATTAACTATTTTTTTTAACTTTCCCATTTCAAAATTATTTTAAACTCCACATTTAAAAGATTACAAATACAGTATTGCAAGCCAGTTTCTTTAAACAAGTAATAAATTCAGTATCAAACATGGATTAACATCAAGAGGAACAATACAAGTATAACATGGCACATAAGTACAGAATAGGACGTGCACACAAATTTTTAGAAAATATTCACAGCAACAATTAGTTTTTTTTTTTTTAAAAATGATTTTAATACTACACCTAGTATTAAAAATATAAAGTGGAAACACCTATTTTATACCATCCTTTATTTTCATAATAAGGAATGGGTCATTCTAACACAAAGTCAATGAAGAAATATGTGTGTAACGTATAAAACATTACTTATGAATACTCAATAAATATCTGGAAGTACAAATGAAATATGTGCAGTTATTCACAGCAAAACCTAAAAATTACTTCATTGATACAAACTTGAGCTAAAAACTTAGACTGAAAATGAATGGAAGTTTGTCATGGATCTACAATTAAATTTGAGCAATTTTGCAATGCGTTTTTTTCCTGTAAATCTAAATTAGAACATTGCTATGAAATGGGAGGACTTCGAAAATGGGGGGGGGAGAAAGCAGATCTGTTTTAAAGCATGAAGATTCAATAAAAACACAAAAAATAACAAACACCAGATATTTAAACAGAATTTGCATACACTTACTAGGATGCATGAATTAAAATGCTTTATCTCTGTTTAAACTCCCTTTAAATTTGTTTCTTAGGGTACACACTGAGCAGAAAAGGAAGTAACTGAGTCCTATGAACAGCTTTGAATTAAAAAATGGGAAATGGCAATCTTTTAAGGATGTTCCTAATTTTCAAACATTTGCTATGCTATCCACATAAATCCAGTCTATTAGTAAAATACAACATTAAATTCATAAGAAATTGTATTACAAAGGACACTTAATGAGATCCTCAAGTCCCATTAAATATGCTAATGAGTCATACGTAAAAATGATGATAAGGCAGTGTAACATGAAATATAATGCGATGTTTTTGTAAATTAAATAACATATTGCAAAGGAAAAGAGAAACCAGAAAGATATTTCAAAATTTTAATGCCCATGAAATGCTAAAAATTGTTTTCTTATTTAGGATGCTTTTTTTGTAAATTAAACATCTTAAATTTATACATTAATCTTTTAGGTAATTCAAATTATTCAACACTAAAACATATTTTGATTTAGCCTTCCCCCCTTTTTTTTTTAAAAATTCAATATTATGTAAGACTACATTAAAATTTAACTATGCTTACCCACAATAAAAACAGTTTCTCATTATATCAGCTGTTTCTTTTTGGTTGCTTTATTAGTCATTTAAAATTTAACACATTTTATCTAAAACTTTTTTCTTTTTATCTATTACAAATACAATTACTGAAAACTGACAGTCTAATTTCAGAGATCTTTTATTTTTTCTCTCCCCCCAAAAAGGCGTATTGCCTTAGATAGCTGCCTAAATCATGACATATCTCTAGACAGATGATTAGAAAAACTTTCATTTCTTTAAAAATGGAAAGAAACACTATGAATTTTGTGTTTACTGTTTGCATATGTATGTCGATGAGAATTTTGCAATTGCTGATAAATTCCTACATATTCTATATGCATGAAGACAGCCCATTTGACAGTATTCTTATACAAAACTTGCAACTCTGAAGATGACATAATGAAAAGTGTGAATTCTGAAATGGAAGATTAGGTTCGATTCTTGACCTAAAACCTTATTTAAAAAAACATTTTTTTTTTTTCCTTTTCCCTCAAAAAGTTTCTTACATAGTTTAATCAACAAATAGAGGCCATTGGAAGTAATATTTCAGTGATAAATTAATACTGTTATTCAATTACAACAACAATAAGCAAAAAATACAAATTAAAAAAAAAAAAATATGCATTCAACAGAGGAATTTCCTCGGAGTCATTTTTCTGAATTACAAAAGTTGCTGTAACACTTAGAATTTTTCTTCTAAATAAATTAGCAATTTCTACTTGCACACTATTTCTAAATTAACAACAATGTGTCTTACAAATAATTAAGTAATAATGAAATAAACAAAAATAACACACACTACTGTTATAAAAATATAAATGTATTACAATTTACATCAAAGTTACAATAATTATATAAAAATTTCTATAAGCTATTTTAAGAACAGTTATATCCATTCAAATAAGTTCTGCTGAATTTTACTCTTGTAAGGAAAAATTAATATAAATTTCTTTTATATACAAACACTGACAGCTCTCTCTCTCAATATATATATCACCTGCATCATGCCAAAACAATGACTCTAAAAAACTACTCTTTTGAAAAAATTGGTTAAAGATATGCAAGTGCTTTATCATAAGAAAAATCATGTAATATCTTCTAAATAATAATTCAAGTACAAGCATATCACAAAATATGCATTTCTTTATTTTAAAACATTAAAAAAAGGGAACATGTAAGTAAAATACAGATTCATGGCTTTGGTATGGTGCCTATGATATATTTCAATTTATTTGAAGTAATAATTATGCACAGAATTTAAATACATTATTTAAACAAAAAATTTTACACATTTGACAAACACAATAATTTGTTCAAAAGCAAGAAAATTATCACACATTTTGAACTAAGTTAGAGGCAAGTTTTAAAACAGCTCCTTATAATCAGTATAAAATATAAAAAGTAAAAACAAGGACTGAAATTCAAAATACATTATAAAACAATTATATTTTAAGCCTGGTCGATATTCACAAAACAAAAGAATATTAAAATGTTTAATTAGATGAACAGCATTATCAATTACATTTCTCATATATAAAAGATATTCCTACGTTTTATACAGGTATAAGGATTTCATTTAAAATTTCTAATCCTGATTTAACAAAATTTATTAGACAACAACTGATAGAATTCTAAGCAACTGTTTGTAACAGAAGATAATCTCTGAGACACAAAACTGCTTCAGTAGTGAATCACTTGATTCAATTGCTACCTATGAGCAATTACTACTTGATCAAAGTGGCCAGAAGGACAATCAGGTAGTTCATGAGAGCTTAAAGCCGGTGTGCCATCATTCTTTATAAATAATATAAGACCGGGTGCTAATAAATAAGAAAATTAAATTAAAAACATACACAAAATTTTTACTTACAATCCAAATTCAATTCTATACATACAATACACATTAAAATATTGGCACTTTTCACAAATAACATATCCTGAATTCACATGCAGCAGAATTTTTTATTTAAAAAAGGTTGATTTTCACACTTTTTAACAGAACCCGAGATGGTAATTTAATTATTGCATATAATTAGTTCCAGTCAAACTTTCATGCCATTTGAATGCTGCAAAATAATATTAATCACTAAATATTTAGTTTATATACTGTGTACAGTCAAATGTCGTTAATTCGGACACCAATAATCCGGACCTCAAAGCTAAAAACTTTCTGCTCATGCGCTGCGTTGGCACATGCGCACAGGCGTTTTACGCGTGCGTGTAAGACCTTGACTACTGCGCATATATGCTTGTGAACAAGTGCAGAATACGTTTTCGCCTGCGCGTTTAATGTATAACGGACGGTGTAAGCTAAAATTATCTATTTCAGTTAATGTTAATGATTGCATTGTTCCTTAATCTTCGAATTAGATCCCGCTTATTATTTTTTGCAGACTGTAAGAGCAATTTTATAAAAGTAAACTTGAACTTTTGATTATGTTAAATAGAATTTCCGATGCCGGAACTTCCAAAGGATCTACAAAACGAAAGTATGTTTCGATGTCCAACAAACAAAAAGTGGAATTGCTGCAAAAAATGGATAAAGACATGAAGAATGTGACAGAGAGGTTAGTGAAAATGAAAAAATTTCGATTGACAAGTTAGTCGGTATTCTTGGCACAGCAATTAACGGGACTTGAACAGCGGAACTTTGTAACTGAACAAGAAATTATGTCTGTTTATAGAATTAAAGAGAAAGTATTATCACATAAAACGAAGCAACTTAAACAACTTACACTGAAAGAAATGTTTAATAAAGTAAACAAATAAATATTAAGCTTTTTTTTTTTTTTTTTTTTTTTTTGTAAATTTTGATACCCTTTAGATCATAATTGTTTTCTATTTCATGAATTACGGTTTCATATTTTTAATTTTAGAATTTCTGCATGCCATCTTACGAGATTTAAACTGATGATCTATAATCTGGAAAAATCGATAATCGCCGAAGTCCCGACGAGTCCGGATTAACGACTTTTGACTGTATTTTATTAAGACCATTCTGAAACATTAATTCTTTCCTAATCACATCTCAATAATAATAATAATAATAATAATAATAAAAGTATAATTTTATAATTACAGAATTTGGAAATAGCATTTTTAGAGGAGTTATATGCAAAAGATCAATGTCAAAAATAAAGTATATAAAGAGAGATAAAAATTATGATAACCTCAGTAATAATGGTATTTTTAAACACATAAGCATGAATAGTGACCTTATTTTAATATCCCATTATGCTTGGCTTTTTAACACATACATTAGTAATAAACATTTTACATAGCTTTAAATTTCATATTTAATACACAACTGGAAATTTTAGCTATAATTCAATATTTCATCATGGTATGGTCAAAACAAAGAATGGCACAGGAATGATATATTCTGGTATATTTTAATGGGGGGAAGAGAATTTAGATACTTAATAATAATACATACAATTATCAAAAAATGAGTAAATAAGGTACTTTTCCGTTTGGCCAGCTCAAATCTTGCCAAGCAGCCTTTATTGGTGACAACACACAGTATATACATAAAAAATATTAACAAATGTTACTTCTAAGAATTTTTTATTTTGAAGGCATAAACATTTTAATATTGTTTAAAATTTAAAAATTAAAAATAAAAATTAAAAAATTTTAAAAATAAATTTTTTAAATTTTGTAAGAAGACCTTAAGAATTTACTATGATCTCATGGTTCAGCATCCTGATTCACTGAATCACTGGTTCATATCATGTGACCCCAAGTGATCTCATTTCATGTAAACAACGTTACAAAAATCTAATTCTCTCAGTAGTTATCTACATTAATTTCATGTTAAATCTTAAATATGGAATACAAGTTTAAATGCAAGAATTATTTCAATTCGTATGAATAGCTTACTCAGAAATTATGTAAAACTGCAGTGCTTTACTACGCTAGAGCATTCTCATTAGAATTGATGAATTTAACCCGACATCGCATTTCCTATATTTCTGCCTTCGGGTGAGCAGTCTGATTGCATTTTAATTGACTTAATTACTGCAAATTGCCTTAGGCCATAAACTTGAACTATTTGGTAAAAATTATATGTAATTGTATGCCAGTATTGAAAGAAACAACCAATCCGATAAGAAATGGCTGCTACTTGTTTTGAAAATGAGGCATAAAAGGTTACCAGCGAGGCTAATCCGTTTGCCATCGGTTGTACCATTTTTGGCAGCTTTATCAGCTGCGCTGGCAAAATGAAAATTTACCTTAAATAATTATAATTTACTTATAAATTATGAATGCAAAGGTTTAAACGTAGCATGCTGGAATAGAGATTGTTTTTTTATAACACAGTTCCTATTTGTCTACATATTTATCTTTTCAATCAGAGCTGTTTCAAGAATTTTCATACCTAAATTTGGTCAAAATTCAGTCTGATTTCTTTTCTTTTTTAAATAATAGAAAAATTCTGTCGCAAGCTGCAGCAGGAAATCTTACAATAGGCAGTAGTCTATATTTAATGCACCCATTCATCTTTTAATTTTGCATTTCCTACCCATGCCAAATCAAAACATAAATCTGAAAATGCTTTCAAATTATCTACTTGACACATAGAAAACTCAGTTTTCATTTGATTAAGATATTTTTCATCAATAATGCATGGAAAAATATTCACCAAGAAATGAAGATGAAAATTAAACTTTAGTTTTCAAGTTAATATCAGCAACTTCAACATGTTTTAGAAATGCATCACTTAGAGGAAATTTATCTACTATATATGACCATGCAGTTTCATAAAAAGCCCATAGTGAATTGAAAAATACCTTCACTTTCATTCGACTTGGCATTTTTTAAGTATAATCTTGTTTCTGCACCAACCATTAAATTTTCATTTACTTTTTGTTCATTACACTTTTGAAATGGAATAGATGTCACCATAGTATCTGTATTTCCTTCAGAAACTGCCTGTAGATTTATGAATCTAACAAATAAATTCATGAACAGTTCAACAAGTTCTCTTCACAATTTCTGCATATAGGGAACTTGTTGCAAATTAATATCTACTGTTACAAACAAAAGCAAAAGTATTCTTCACAAATAATAAATACATTTTGGTGGTAGGTGATTGTAACATTTTTTAATGTTTTGCAATTTTTCTTTCATTTTCATTGTGAGATGACTGATTTAAAAAAAAAAAAAAGAGAGAGAGAGAGAGAGAGAGAGAGAGAAAGATCATCCCACTGTTATACTGCAGTATTTCAGAATTTTATAAGATTTGCATTCTGTCACAAAATCAGTCGAGCGAGTTTGAAGCTATGCATCCATTTTAAACTTTTCTCTAAAAATATCTTTTACCATCATTTATATTTCTGAGCCAATTAATTTTTCAGTAGCTTTTTTTGCAATTATATGCAAGAGGTAGCATAGACAACCTTGAATGACTTTATCCAGTTGAGCATTTTGATAAATGATGCTATACCTTTAAATTTTCCCAATATATTGTTAACTTTGTTTGAAGAAAATGACACAATTTTTCCATTCGAAGCCCTTTGCTTCTAAAGTATTCATTTATCCAATTACATATACCTACTTCAGTATTATTCTTGCATTATAAAATAGAAATAAATGAAGTAATTACCATCCCCTCTTCTTTGCTCCATTATTTCATAATCAAAGGATATAGTTTGTTGTCACTACTTCCATCAGTAATTAGAGCAAATGATGCTATTGTACATCGATTTTACATCACTGGCAACAGCACTTTTTACAAGCATTTTCACAATTGCCACATTTTTGGTATAGCCACAGCTTAATTTTTTTCTTACAGCACAATCCGGAAATATTGCATTTGAAATTTGTTTCAAATTATCCGAAACTAAAATCAGTAGATTATGCTCAATTAAAAACCGAACAAAATAGCATTTGGCTTTTATGGTATCTGTTTCATCATCTTTTATGAAAAATTTGTTACTTCTTAAGATTTTACAGCATCAATTTTTTTTTATGCTTTTGAGGAAACTTTACTAAATGCAAAGTAACTTTCCACAATGCAAACTTACTTTCCATAATGCAAAGTTGAGTCTTTGTTGCAAACACTGCAACGTGCATAATTCATGGAAATTTCAGATGCTTTCATGTATGGAAATTCTTACGATACAAATTTTTAAATTTCCCCATTTGATAATTTTAGCTTTTTAAATTCAGACGGCATAATTCTCAAAAAAAAAAAAAAAAAAAAAAAAAACCCACTGAATTACAGTTCACAAGATATGTGCTACACTCTCACTGTAACCTAAGCGAATGCAGCCAATGCAGAGTAAAGAAGTCCTTCACTGCTGGGAATTAGATTACAGATTAACAATTGGAGTTTCCTGATCTATGATTGGCTACTTTTAACAGCCAGTAATGCACTCAATATGTAATATTTAATGTCCCAAGCATTTAGCAAATCATCAGATGAGTTAGTTGGTTCTGCTTTGCGTACTATTTATTCTGCCTTCTTTTTGTAAAATCCATAGTTTTCCATAGCTCACAGTTTTTCAGAAGCTTCCATATAAACTATAGAGAATCCATAGTAGTTGCAGTCTATGCATTTACCATAAATAATCAACATGAAACTAAGTAATTAAACTATTGTTACTGACTGGTCCATATACGAGACACATGGTTTCCTCACACCAGACTAATAACTCATGTGTTGGATAGTGATAGAACCATAGTCCCTTTAATAATTTGTAGTAAAATTATTAAATAATATTGAAATTGTTGAAATAATATTCAAAATCACTTTTGATTAAAAGAACTTTGAAAATTCTCAAATTTGAATTAGCTTTGAGTATTATTATTGGTCTGTGGCAGATGGTGTAATTTTATCCATAAGTTTTTGTGCATTAAGAGTATGCGTGGTCCATAAGTTTGTTGTTTAGTCCATAAGTTTGTGCACATTAAGAGTATGCATGGAATTCACTATGATGCATTTATTAAAACAAATACAATTTTGAATCTGCTGAAACTTGTCTTTGTTTGACTATCATCACCAACTTTCGTAAATATCGAACACATTTTAGTACCCATAGAAGATGAATATAGATAATCAGTACAAACCTGCTGTGCTACATTTTTTATTTTCGTGTGGTGAATCTGTCAGGTTTGCAGTGATAAAAATTAATAGTGTACATGGAGAACACACTAATAGTGTAAGGACTGCCCAGAAAGGGTTTAAAAAATTTTAAGTTGGTAAAAACAGCATTGATGACGAACCCCGTTCAGGATGTTTTGAATTGTTAGAATCAAGTTTATAGTGAACAACTTTGCCATCTAAACTCAGAATTGATCAAAAAATGCCCACAATTAGTGAATATCAAGAAAGTGTTGTTTCATCATGATAACGCTAGACCACATATGGCTCGAACAACGCTGCAAAAAAAAATTAGTGAATTTAATTGGGAGCTTTTTGCCACATCCTGCTTACTCCCCAGATATAGCCCCAAGTGATTTTCACTTATGTAAGAATTTTTTACTGGGAAAAAAATTAAATTCTAAACAGGATGTACACAATGAACTTACAAGTTTTTTTTGCATCAAAACCAGAGTCTTTCTAAAACAATGGTATAAAAAAAGCTGCCTGTAAGATGGCGAAGTAAAATAAAATTAATTTATCATAATTATAAATAGTTTTCTCCATTCAGAATGATAGCATTAACTTACATTCCATAGAATCATCAGGCTCAAGGTTTGTAGCTTCAATGACTTCATTAATTACTTCTTTTGCACTGACTCTAGTAGAATCCATTCGGCCTTCATCTGACATTTGTTTCTAAAGAAGAAATTTGATAAATAAAAATTAGCCAGAAAATAATATGCTTTTTAATATCAGCATAACAGAATACATGAAAAGTTTTTTCATATTAAGAAGATAATTTTAATCACGTTACTATTATTTTAACATCAAATCACAGAGATATTAACTTGATTATTTCACAAATAATTAAAAAGAGAAAAAAGGGAACTGATAAAAAGTTTTCCTATCAAAACAGTAGAAACCATTTTAGGAGATGACCTTGGGGGATAGGAACTTGAAACAATATTACAGTACAAAGTCCATAATCCAAATGTCCATTATCTGGAATGATCTATAATCCAGACCTCAAAGCCACAAACTGTTTTTTTTTTTTTTTTTTTAAATGCTTTACACATGCTTATTTAATGCCATTCATGGGTCCAATGCTAGTGGCTCGAGCCAAACTATTACGTGAATAAATGCACTTAAACACTGAGTGCACATATTCGACAGGTTGGTTAACCAAATTAAAAATTTGCCATGGTATAAGACAATTAAATATTTCAGGTGAGAAAGCTTCAGCTGCTGAACAATTTGCAGATGAATTCATTGAACTCATTACTAGTGAACAATTATCTCCAGAAAAAATTTACAACGCTGATGAAACTGGTCTTTTCTGGCATTATGTACCGCGAAATACCTTGGCAACCTCTGCAGAAAAGGCTCCAACTGGTGTCAAAGATTACAAAGCGAGACTACAATTTTAGCATGCGCAAATGCTGCAGGAACGCACAAGTGCAAACTTTTCGCAATTGGAAAACATGCACGACCTCGAGCATTTAAAGGAGTAACGATTTTCCCCGTTATATGTCGTGCAAATAAAACAGCATGGATGACACAAGCGTTGATGAATGATTGGTTTGAAAATCATTTTATACCCGAGGCTCGGTGACATTGAATTCAGTTGGTTTACCTGATGACTCAAAAATAGTTTTGATTGTTGACAATTGTTTGACGCATACTTCACTTAAAGTTTTAGTGAAAGATAATGTATCCATATTATTCTTCCCTCCAAAGTGTACGTCTATCATTCAGCCTATGGATATGGAAATAGTGCACATGCTGAAATTCAAATATAAAGTAGCATTTTTAAAATCTATGTTAAATTTCTTGAACAATGGCTAATCTTTTTGAAATTTTTCAGCATAAAATCTGCTGTGCAGAGCATCACAAGATCGTGAGAGGATGTGTCTCCAGATACGTTAAAAAATGCTTGGCATAATTTATGGCCAGCTACCATATTTGATGGTAAGGACGATGGAGATGATAGCAGCGAATTTGAAGGTGTTTGGACATCGCAAGGTGAAATTTTCCAGTTATTGCATTTTGTAAAGAAATGTGGAGAAGCAGTAATAAATGAAAATGATATAACAGAAGTTTTTCACCATGACGACAATGCCCCAACCATCAATTAATTAACGGACGGTGAAATCTGAAGTATGGTTCTAGCTCCAGAAAATACCCCTATCGATAGTGAAGAAAGTGACAGAGAGGTTATTGAAAATGAAAAAATTTCTATTGACAAGTTCTTATTCTCGACAGTTACAGCACTTGAACAGTGGAACTTTGTAAATGAACACGGAATTATGTCTGTTTATAGAATTTTAAAAGAGAAAGTATTAGCACAAAAACGAAGCAACTTATATTGAAATAAATGTTTAATAAAGTAAATAAATAAATATTAAGCTTTTTTTTGTAAATTTTGATACCCTTTAGATAATAATTGCTCTTTATTTTATAAATTACGGTTTCATACTTTTAATTATATAATTTCTGCATGCCACCGTACCAGATTTAAATTGATGATCTATAATCTCTAAAAAACCCTAATCCGGAATCACCGAAGTCCAGACGAGTCCGGATTACGGACTTTGTACTGTACTATGAGACTTTCAAAGAAGGATCAGCAATATGACCATTGATATCCAGGATCAAACAGTGCAACATATGAAGTTTGCAACACTCAGGCTTTATTAATATGCAGAGGCTGTCTGCACATTTTTTAGATGATTTTCCTTGTAATTACAGAAGTATTTTACCTACATTTTTTGTGTTTTAAATGTTACATTTGATACTTTAGCAGCAGAAGAGGTATTTTATCCCATTCTTTTTGAACAGCTGTTAAGTCCAAATGCACAAAAATCCATGAATGATACATCAGGTGATTTAGAAGGGATATCAGTGAAGGGTATGGTCTTGATACCCATTTCTTGTAACATTTTTTCCAGGAAATTAACTTTGGATTTTGTTATGTGGTTGCTTACTTTGTCTCGACGTAGTTCTAATTATTGATGGCACTGTGGGTAAAGAGAAGGAATTCCATATTTAAAAACTAGATATAAAACTTATTCCTGATAATATGTGGAATTGACTTAACAGTTTTCAACACTCTCTTTAATTTTTATTTGTTGTTATATCAAAAATCAGACACAATCATAAATCAATCTGAAAAATTTTCTTCAGATTCCTTGAACCACGTTCTAAATTCCCCCCCCTTCTTCTTCTTTTTGATGATGATAAATGGATCTCTTTTTATTACAGTCATTTAAATATACCCAAGATTCATCTATTGCGACAATATTTTTGTCCAAATAATTGTTTCTTATAAAGAATTCCGTAGCGCATTTCGCTTTTGGCAATATTTCGTGGAGAAAAATGATGCCCATTATGTTTTACCACCTTTTAGGATTCAAATCAGCACTAATCACTTTGTTTACAGTTCACACCAAGCATTTTAATGAATATGCAACTGTCCTTTGACTTCGAACATTTTCCTTTAACATTAAAGTCATTATTGCAACATTCGAAACATTTAGTTTTCCCCTTGGATATGTATTTTGAACAATTTTTTTCTTAAAGCCAAATTTTGACATTTCCCCCCTTTCTTATCGACAATATTAACTATCGCTGCTTTAGATACAGAAAAATCATGGCGTTTTTAATAACTAAATACGAATAATTTTCTTCGGAAAGAGCACAAACATAGACTTCCATCCATTATTTTTTTAAAGCGCGAAGTTTTTTAATAGCAAAGCAAAATCCTCTAAAAATGTGCAAACAGCTTTTGTAATGAATTGAACAATGCATCATCATATGCCCAGCTGCTGATGTTTGTAAAGTATATTCATTCATATTCATCTAAACAAATTTCTGTAATGTTCACCCTTGGAAACTCATAATAAAATTTCAGAAAATAAAGAAAAGATCTCATTTTCTTTGAAATGGAAAACAAAATCATAACATATTAGCTATGCATGCTACACAGATGGACTGCCAACCATATTAGAAACAAAATTCAGATTTTAAACTCATACTAAAGCATTCTTCACTGGTGAAAGGAATTTACTGTATGATACAATAAAAAGCTATTGGCCCCAAAAACATTTCCAAGCACCACTATCAAAGGTTTTAGATGAAACAAATGAAAATGAGAATTTCATAAAAAAATCTGAAAGGTTTCAGATTTTAAATTATGTCCAAAGGGATTTTAACATTTTGTGTGTTACCTTTATTTATTAAATATCAAGTAACCATAAAATTCAGTTAAAACCTTAAACCATAAAATTCAGTTCAATAGCAAGATCGCAAAATAATTTTAAATTGCACATATCTTTAGAATTTCTGATACGCAATCTCGAGCGCTGGAGATAAAAATGTTTTCTTCTGTACAACGTTGCCATTGCTCGCTTTGAAATCCTTAAGTTTGTTAATTAAAAACTTGTTAAAGTTTTACAAAATATGAAACTGATAAGAAAACAAATTCCAAATTTCAAATTTGGGCTTTCAGATGCTCATATTTGTAGTACGATTAAGTCATTTAAAATTTGATTGTTGTTTTATCACAATGCGAGAAACATATTGGGTCAGTCCATAAATTTGTGCCCATTTTTTGGTAAATTTTTTAATATTTTAATCAATTCACACAATTTAACACACACAATTTAACATTTTAATCATTTTATTTGACATTTAATAATTTTAATCATTCTATTTGAACATTTTAATCAATTCTATTTTTTCCTCTATTACCTACAATGTCTTACAATTTTACAGGCAGCTTTTTTATGCCATTGCTGTAAAAAGACTCTGGTTTTCATGAATAAAAACTTGAAAGTTCATTGTGTACACTTGTTTAGAATTTAATTTTTTAACCAGTAAAAAATTTTGCAAAGCACGAAATAAGTGAAAATCACTTGGGACAATATCTGGGGAGTAAGCAGGATGCAGGATGTGGCAAGAGCTCCAAATTAAAATCACTAATTTTTTGCAGAACTGTTCGAGCCGTATGTGGTCTAGCGTTGTCATGATGAAACAATACTTTCTTGATATTCGTCAATCATGGGCGCCTTTTTGATCAATTCTCAGTTTAGATGGCAAAGTTGTTCACTATAAACGTCTGAATTAATTGTTTGATTTGGTTATAACAGTTCAAAACGTCCAGAAAGGGGTTCATTATCAATGCTGCTTTTTCACACTTTAAATTTTTTAAACCATTTCTGGGCAGTCCTTACACTAATAGTGTGTTCACCATGTTCACCTTGTACAAAGTCCGTAATCCGGACGTCCATTATCCAGACCTCTGTTGCAACTCAACTCTTGCTGAGATCCGATGGCTGAGTGACGTCATCTCGAACTATGAACTCCCGTGGAGAGATCACGAGAACTCGGAACTGAGAAGTCGCAAGCTGCGTCGTGCGAACATTTAAACCTTTCATTATGTAAATATTCTGTAACCAATTGCATCTTCATTAAATATGTTTGTGTAAAGAAAGTATTTATCATTTATGGAATATCCCCTTCAAGATTTTGCAGTTAGATGCACAGAGGAACTTCAGCCCTGTGGCCCTGGCAGAACCCACTGGAACAAGGTAAGCAGTTTTGTTTTACCTTGATTAATTAGACGTAACGATAACGATATAAATAATAATATTGTGGCGCCATAATGTGGGGCCATTGGGTTGAATTTGAACTGAAATTTAATAGATTTTGCTTAAGCAAAAACATGGATTTAGAAAAATTAAAAAAGAAACGATCTGCTATAAGAGCAATAGTTACAAAGCTGATAAATAAGATAGAAACAGAAATTGCTAATGAGGGGGATAAAAATGTAATTGAAGAAACGGTTGCTCAGTTAATTAGTAAAGAAGAAGAACTAATCTTAGCGGATAATGGTATTGAAATTTTAATTGATGTAACAAATTTAGAAGATTTCATATGGAAGATTTCAGATTCTGATGAATAATGTTCTAGAGAAGAGTATAAAAGTAAAATTATTGTTTGGAAATTACGCGCGAAAAGATATTTAGATACTAATCCACATAGCGCTAATTCTACTTCATGTGGAGGAATGTCACTGAATCGCAGAACAAAATTAAACTCCTTAAATTGGCCCTGGAAACATTTTCGGGAAAGGACATGTGTGCAGTTGGCCCGGGTTTTGGGCACGATTTGAGACAGCTGTACACGAAAACGAAAGTCTACATGCAGTAGATAAATTTAACTATTTAAAGTCAATTCTTACTTCCGATGCAGAAACTGCAATACAAGGGTTGACATTAACAGCGGAGAATTACGAGAAGGCTGTGAAAATATTAAAAGATCGCTTCGGACGCAAAGAACTAATAATAGATACCCATATGAACAATTTATTAACTCTGACTCCGGTTAAAAGGTCTTGCGATGTGACACAGCACTTCGAAAAAATTATATGATCATTGTGAAGTACAAATTAGAGGATTAGAATCGTGTAATATTTTACCGGATTCGTACAGTACCTTATTGTATCCGATATTAATAAAGGTGATTCTGAAAGATTTAGCACTAGAATTTAATAGAAAATATGAAGATGATAATCAGACAAAAATTATGAATTTGCTCAATTTTCTAAGAAAAGAAATAGAAAGTCGAGAACGTACAGGATTTTTAGTTAAGCCAACAGATTCTGAAGTCACTGAAAGGAAATCCCATTTTGAAAATAAGCGGCAGTTTCGAGACAGCGAAAGAAATTGGGATTATAATAAGGGTAGAATTCCTTCAGTGGCAGCGTTAAACACATCACTATCTAATAGCTGTTTATTCTGGTCTGAAAATCATTCGTCAGAATCATGTAAAAAAACTGTGCCAGAGAAAAAGGAAGCGTTAAAGCGAAGGGGGTTTTGTTTCATGTGTCCTCAAAAGATACCATTTAGCGAGGATGTGCAAATCGAAACTAACTCGTGGTGTTTGTGATCGGCGACATCATAAATTGATACACTCTGACGAAACGAATGCGTCAGACAAGAGTCCCGTCCAAAGGGGCAGTAGTCTCCTCTGTTTCCGATTGCGCAACAGCAAATAACTCATTTCTTCTGACAGCACAAGCTGAAATTATAAACACAGGCAATTGGCGCCAATTGGCCAAAGCGCTCGCTTGTTGTTTGATTTAGGATCGCAGCGAACATTTATTAGAGATGACGTCACTCAGCCATCGGATCTCAGCAAGAGTTGAGTTGCAACAACCTCAAAGCCACAAATGTTTTTTTTGGGTATGCTTTACGCATGCGCGTTTAATGTATAACGGACGGTATAAGCTAGGCTAAAATTATCTTTACTGATTCTAAGGCATTTCAGTTAATGTTGAAGATTGCGCTGTTCCTTAATCTTCTAATTGGATACGGCTTATTATTTTTTGCAGACTGTTAGTAAAATTTTATAAAAAATTAAGCTTGAACTTTCGATTACGTCAAAAAGAGTTTCCAATTATGGAGCTGCCAAAGGATCTACAAAGCGAAACGATTTTTCTTGTCCATCAAACAAAAAGTGGAACTGCTGCAAAAAAATGGATAAAGGCATATCCATTTTAAAATTATGCTAGGAGTATGGCATTGGATGACACAAAAGAAAAAGGAACTTTTTGAATTTTTTTGTGGAAGCATCTTAAACAACTTACATTGAAAGAAATGTTTAATAAAATAAACAAATAAATATTAAGCCTTTTTTTTTTTTTTTTTGTAAATTTTGATACCCTTTACCTCATAATTGCTCTTTATTTCATAAATTACAGTTTCATATTTTTAATTGTATAATTTCTACATGGCATCTTACCAGATTTAAATTCATGATCTATAATCCGGAATTGGCAAAGTCCCGGCGAGTCCGGATTACGGACTTTATACTGTATTAATTTTTATCGCTGCAAACCTGGCAGATTCACCACATGAAAATAAAAAAATGTAGCACAGCACATTAGTACTGATTATCTATATTCATCTTCTATGGGTTCAATATTGATATGTGTTCGATATTTATGAAAGTTGGTGATGAATTGAATAATATGTTAGTCAAACGATGACAAGTTTCAACAGGTTCAAAATTGTATTGTTTTAGTAAATGCGTCATAGTGAATTCCATGCATAGTCTTAATACGTATTAACTTATGGATTGACCTGATACATACATTTATGCAGATTCTTCCTTATTTAATTTCTTCAAATATAATACAGGGTGATAGTATTTGGTGAGAACAATTTGAAAAGTGATACAGCCTTTTAAAGTTTTCAACGCAAAATCGCAAAACAAAAACAAAAGTCCTTCAGGGAAAAAGACCCTTTGGGCTTTAAAATAAAATTCTAAACACAAAACTTTTAATACAATTATATTTTGATATGCATACAGGCTATGACTACTTTTCTTTCTACAAAAGTACTAGATATCTTTCAAGGGGAAAATGAGAGTGGAGCTAAGTGATGAGTTCTAATTACTATTTGATTTAGAGGACAAGATAGAATGCTTTTCCTCACTGGAAGATGAGGAATGGATTATGGAATTTTGTTTACCTATATTACATTTTTTGCAACAATAGCACAGAATATACATAAGATAAAATTTCATTATGATTACTTTTGACGGCCTCTTTCTATCTGGAGCTTTAGGAACACCCGCAAGACATAACTCACTGAAAGTAGAACTTGAACTAGGATTCCTAAAATTAAAATATATAACACATTTAAAATTTAATAACATTTAACATAATAAATGACAAAATTCATAATAATATTAACTTTCTTTGGTTCTAAGGCACACTTTTCTCCTCGCATAAATATTACTAAAAAGCACAACACATCTTGGCATTAAGATTTTTTTTATACATATTTTAAAGTAATTCATATATCCAAAGAATAAGATACACTATCGTTAATAAAATAAACTTGATTACTGAAAAAAATATTTGTTGGATGCATTTTACTTGCCTATAATCAGTTTTTTCTCCCTCCTAAATGGTAATCTGAGTGCATCTCAGAATTAGAAAAACATGGCCCACGAGCACAAAATTTGCAAATTATGCCACATATACTAAAATATTTAATTCAGATACTGTACAAATATGCGAATTTAAAATCTAATCACACATTTAATCATTTGCCATTAAACTTTTAATAGTTAAATTTACATAAGACAGAAAATTGTATTAATACATGGGAATAAAAGTCTATATACATATTTACCTATGGTGGCCAGATTCTGCACTACTTTGCCGAGAATGAGATGCTAAACTGCCATAGCCTGATGCTTTCGAATGCTGGCTGGCATAGCTAGAATTCCGAGAATGACCTCGTTCAAACTCAGGTACATGATCATCCTCTTTTGATTTCTCATCATTTGACCCCGTAACCAGTTCTAATGTTAAAGAAAAATAATATTTCTAGGTACTAATGTAGTTTTCTTGTTACAAAAATTTACAAAAAAAAAAAAAAAAAAAAAAAAAAAAAAAAAAAAAAACTGATTTTTACAAATAAATGAATAATCTTTTCCATCGCCAATAATCATATTGAAGATGGAAGAATTACCAATGCTTTGTAATGGGCGGGATAAACTAAAAGCATCAACTTGCTGTAAAAGCAAGTACAGTCAAATACTGAAAATCTTCTGACCTGAAATCCACCAACTCCAGAAATCCGCGTTGCCTCTCAGAATATAAACATTCAGTTCATAGGTTCCGGAAACCGCAACATTGAGTACAAAATATTGAGAAAGAAATACTTACCGAATAATCACGTCATATCAAAACGGAAATACCAAATTATTGATATAAAAAAAAAAAAAAAAAAAAAAGATAAAATAAATAAGTTTTTTTCCATCTAATCTGCATTGAGGTAAAAAAGCAGACGATTCACTCAACTCTTTGTTCAAGTTCACGATTCATGTTGTTGCATTTTCTGAGCTGTGTTATTTCATTTCACAAGATTGTTTAGTGCTGCCTTTTTTTAATCCGGATATTTTGTGGATAAATTAAGAATATTTTAAATTTCAGCCCTTTTTAACACAATGACAGATAAGAAACGCACTCGTGATTTTACTGCTTGCAAAGTTGAAAAACGTAAACACGTTGCATTGACAGTAACGCAAAAAGTGCAAATTCTGCAAAAGATGGAAGCAGGTGCTACTCCTTGATTTATATCAGAATGGTATGGAATTGCGACACAATTGTGTATGATATACGGAAAAATAAAGAAAAGCTATTGAAATTCTACAGCAACAGTGATTCTAACACCAGAATCCGAAAACGGAAATCTTTGCATGAGGCGAAATCAGCAAACTTCGATGCTGTGTACATATAATACAATGAATAATATAATCAATTTATGTATGTAATAATAATTTAATGCATATAATAAATTATTGCAATAATGTATATAATAATTTAATTAAAATGTATCGAATATGGCTAATTTATTTTGCACTTTTAGTCCGAATATTATGCTTTATCTTTTCTGTCCTGAAATCCGCAAAATCCTAAAATCCGCTCAACCTCTGGTCCCAAGCTTTGCAGATTTCTGGAATTCTACTGTAGTAATTTTACCTTATTTTTATTCTTAGTGCAAGTTTTGAAGAGTGGAATTTAATTTTGACAAATATTTTTCAAAGCTAAGTGAAAGTAACAAAGGAACATATTTTGCTTTATGAGTTCAGTTAAATAATTATTGACAGAAATATTGATGCAGAATAAGGGGATCGAAAAATAAGTGTAAATCAATATCAATGGCGGTTCGAGAAATTTTGAGCCTGTAATAATAGCCAAGGTTTGGTACAATCCTTAAGAGTCCTTAAATTTTTTGGAATCAATTTTTGATCCTTAGAAGTCCTTATTTTTGGCCAAAATCAGCAGAAGGTCCTTAATTTTAATAATCTGAAATTTCTGTCTGATTTTATGACTGAAACATAAGCATTTCGAAATTCACTTTTTTCTAATAAAGAGCTCTTAACCGCTTGACTGCTACGCATATGAATGCAAAAGCGCTGCATTCATATGCTTTGAAAACCGCAATGCAGCACATCTGCGCTGCGAGTTTCAGTGTGTCTTTGTTGCTCCGTGGGTGTGAACGTGCGTAGTCTGACCTCACGTGTACTTTGTAACACGAGTGCATTCTAAAAAAACTAACTGCATCGCGGTTTTCGAGACAAATGAACGTAGCGCTTTTGTGCAGCGTAGCAGTCAAACGGTTAAACAGCTTTTTGCTTTTGGGTATGTGAATTCTTTTATTAAATGGTTCTAAATATGGTGACATTTCAACATTTTGGCGATTAGTTTCTATAGAAAATTTCTAATTCCGAGATCCCGATGTTTTCAGACACGTGCTCTCACTCACAAAGCAGAAGAGTGCCATAATTTCTCAGTGATGAAACTACTTTGGTTTTCTCTGCAGTCTAGAGAGTAACCGGCGTTTTCAGACACCCAAAATCACTTTTGGGGGAGTGCAAATAACAAAGTATTATGCCAAGCTACATCAAAATCATGAGAAATTTTAAAAATAAGAGAAAGTTGGGAAAAATATATTGAAAATCGGGTTGCCGGGAGAATGGTCGGAAAGCGGAAGTCTCCTGCCTACATTGGAAGAGTTGTCAACCCTGCTTATGGATAAGTTTTAACCTGGCAGCACGCATGTCCTAATAGTAATGCGAGAACGAGCGTTGGGTCGAATAGGCCAGCGCGCACTTTTCTTTAATTCATGAGACTTTATTATTGAACCAGTAATATATATTTTATACCACGATTCATAAAAATCAAGAGAAGTTATATATTTGAAAATAATGAATTAATGTTTAGAAAAATCTTTTTAAATCTTTACACCGCATATAACATTGAATAAGATAACAGAATAAGGTAAGATAGTTGAATAATTGAAGAAGGTAACTAAATTAATGCATATAATTTTTTAATACCAAAAAACTACTTGCATATGAAGCTGCAAACGTAATGCTGGTATATATTTATTGGCACACAATACACACTATAGAGCTATGCTTACCGCAGACATTTTTTTTCGCATTTTGTGCATGAAGTTTTAGAATTTCTGTTCTTCCCAGTCTCACAACAACTTTGTCCATGCTGTTTTCCAGTTTGTAGGGACCTTCAGGTTGCATCCTTGCATATATTTCTAAATTCCAGGTAAAAAAGGACCGATTAAGGCTTTTATTTCGATTAAATTAGTTTTTTTTTGCAGTCACAATATCCTTGAAAATCATCCGCAATCTTGTCCACGTAAATGTTCGTGCAATCAACAATGCGCTGTAATATGGTATTATCAAACAGTAACAACCAAGAGTCTGTAGGGGATGATACAGTTCTCGCATCACCAACATATCCAGGCAATTTAGTGATAATATTATGCGAAAGTGTTCTTATATTTTGTTTTGGTTTTTTTTATTCCATTTTGTAATCCCATCTATCCCGGCATAAAATTTGCCTAAACTGAATGCATCTATTTCATCGTCTGAATCAAATTCTTCTTCCGAAGAAGTTTCATGAGCACTAAATTGCTCTTTATCATCATCTCCACTTATTGATTCTTCATTTATTGATATTTCGGCAAGTAAAGTTTGAAACCGTTTCATATCATCTTTATAGCTTAAATAACGACACATCTTTTAAAACTCTTATACAAACATTATAAAAAAAAAAAAAAAAAAAACCCACCGAACGCGAGAATGCACATTGGGTCTTTTAGGCTTGGAGATTCAGTTCCTAGCTAAAGAAAATTTAAGAAATATGACCTCCTACACAATGAATAGAGGGTGACCTTGGAAGCAGGTACTGGTAGACTCAACCATTTTCATGAAAGGGGAGAGGTTTTGCAATGCATTGAATATTTGCAGGGCCTGTAAGACCCAACGCACATTTTCGCGGGTTAATAAGTGGTTAAATATGAATTATTTATTTTTGCTAGAAAACCTTCATTAGGATTTGAGATTACAATAGTTTTCACATTTGGCAGATAAAGTGATGTGTTACCATTGCAATACTGAAATCTTGGACCACCTAAATTGGAACTCTCGCAAGCACATTTTCTTGACATTTGTTTCAATACCAGGAGCTTCATTAATTACAAGTTTCTAGGCAGACAGTAAATTCCTTTTTTGTAAACAGCTGGTTTAACATTTCATGTTTTGTACTTGGTTTATATATGTATTTATTTTTAATGGAAATTATAAATAACGGGTACAATATTCTGATTATTAGCTTAGCCCCATCTTATTCGTACTTTAGCACAGCTTCGTAAGAAGGACAATCTATTTCAGCATGATGTGTTTATTTTTCATAAAGTGAATGAAATTTATTCCTTCTGATCATTTAGGTGCACTATTTGCTTAAGCCACGGGGATAATGCATCTTCAATGTCCTAATTTGCTTTTTCAACTAAGCTTAACTAAGTCTTAGCTATCCATGAAGAATTTTGAGTTCATCCCACATTCCGTAAATTTCACAAATTGTGTTACTGGATTCCTGGCCATTGTTACTTTGCAAGATGCATGGTACTTTATATATCGTGAATACATACTGCAGATTGGTGGTATCAAACTCGTGATCTTCAAAGGAATTTTATGCAGCCAGTGAATACATTTCAATTATGCATTTGTCATAAATACAATAGTTATATATGATAGTCATAAATATGATAGTTGATATGTAGCCTATAGTTTGAGACAAAATTATGAATTGAACTTATATGTGCAACTTCTATTGAGGAAAAAAAGATACACTGAGTAAAGTGGAACTTTGTCCTTGCCACTGATGCTTGCATGCGACATGTCATTATGGTTAGATGGGAAAATTTCCCATGCTTGTACATTGAGTGAATTTAGTTTGCGCTGGTGGAGTTTCAGTCTTTGAAATTTCTGGTTAAAGTAAATTATTTAGTGGATAATTCAATGTAATGGAAGTTGCCTGAAATACATGTCAGTCTAAAACTTAATCTTTAGCTGTAAATATGTTTGAATTAAAAAGTATAGCCAATAGATACTTCTTGCCAAAAATACCAAACTTTAGATTTCATATACAAAATAAATAAAAGTGTGAATTCTTTTGTACTATTATTGTTATTGCTTATGTATGTTTTAATAAATATTTAAAACTTTTTTATTTTTTGGTAAAAAATATTTTAAAAAATACTTTGGACTGTAAGTTGCCTTCTGATTCAGCATTCGGCCCACAAGCAATTTGAGTTCGAGACCACCAGAGTATATGGTAAGCAACTTCCTCCGCTCACTTTGTTCTAAAGTTCCTAATTAAACTAATTTTGTGAGATGGTCTTGATAAACCATTATAAATTTATAAGCTATGTTTCTCTGCAACTTTATGTTAACGAGTTTGATCCAACATTTTGAACTGAATTCACTACTTTTAATTTAAAAGCAAGAGCATTTTTTTGGAATGCTTTGTTTCTTTTGACAAGATTTACAAAGTTTAATCATATTACAACAAATTTTATTATAAAATCTTTTTAAATCTCGTCTTAAGCCTTTTTATTATTCTATTTAGTTCTCTATGTATAACTTCAGTATGAATCTTATGGATAGTATGAAAATACTCCTGCATAAAAGGGTTACATCTAACCACCCCCTTTTTTAATGTTGAATGAAATTATGATTTTCCAATATTTCCAATTCTTACAATACAGTCAAAAGTCGTTAATCTGGACTCGTCGGGACTTCGGCGATTCCGGATTATCGATTTTTCCGGATTATAGATCATCGGTTTAAATCTCGTAAGATGGCATGCAGAAATTCTAAAATTAAAAATATGAAACCGTAATTTACGAAATAAAGAACAATTATGATCTAAAGGGTATCAAAATTTACAAAAAAAAGCTTAATACTTATTTGTTTACTTTATTAAACATTTCTTTCAATGTAAGTTGTTTCAGTTGCTTCGTTTTTTATGTGATAATACATTCTCTTTAATTCTATAAACAGACATAATTTCTTGTTCAGTTACTAAGTTCCGCTGTTCAAGTTCTATAATTGCTGTGTCGAGAATACCGACTAATTTGTCAGTCGAAATTTTTTTTTTTTTTTTTTTTTTCGTTTTCAATAACCTATGTCACTTTCTTCGCTATCGGAAGCGAATTATAATGACGAGGCATTTGATTTAAATCATATCAAAGACGGAGTACATCGAGATGAAATACTACATTGAGTAAGCAATTATAAGCCAAATAAAATAAAAACATCTGCCCTTAAGATAAGGATAGTGCTGACAAATCAACTTCCAATTCATTGCACGCCGCCACGGCGTTAAAGATAAACAAAGTTTAGATAAACAAAAAAATATGCCTTTATCCATTTTTTGCAGCAATTCCACTTTTTGTTTAATGGACTCCAAAAGATACTTTCGCTTTGTATATCCTTTACATATTAGTAAATATATATAGGAAATTCTATTTGACATAATCGAAAGTTCAAGCTTACTTTTATAAAATTGCTCTAACAGTCTGCAAAAAATAATAATCCGGATCCAATTCGAAGATTAAGAAACAACGCAATCTGCAACATTAACTGAAATAGATAATTAGATAATTTTAGCTTAGCTTATCCCGTCCGTTATATATTGAACGTGCATTCGTAAACGTATTTTGCGCACGCGCACACACAAAGGTAAAGGTCTTACGCTTTGAGTTTGTAGCTTTGAGGTCCGGATTATAGATAATTCCGGATTATGGGTGTCCGAATTAACGACTTTTGACTGTACCACATATATTTTGATAAGTTTTTTAGAAATCGTCCATCTTCAAATTTTGCTTACATAGGCTGTTCCAGAAGAAAAAAAAAAAAAATTCCAAGATAAATTATGTTTAATTTGAGTAATGCTCTACATAAAGATGACTATAAATATATTTCTACAATTCAAAATATTAAAAAAAAATTTTTAGATATAAATCTTAAAATGTGTGATTGTAGGCAAAAAGGACTATCCCTTTCAAGTTTCATGTTATTCAACCTCTTTGTTTTGTAACCTAGTTTTTTTTTAAATAAAGAAGTTTAATTATTTTAAATATGAACTATTAGTGTGTTATATTTATGATAAAATTAATTACAGAATTTTTTTCTTTAACAAATCAATAGAAAAATAATTTGTCTTCTTCATGTCAAGTACATTACCTTGAGATTATTTTACACAAAATTAGTTTTAAATCTGTCTAAAAGGGGCAGTACATTATAAGGTATTTCTCTTGCCTTCTTTGCATGCCTTCATGGTGTGTAATTGAGAGGTCTGTGGTTCAATTCCCGGCGAAGACATTGCATATTATTCATCTTGCTTGCCTCCAAAAAAATACCTAATGTCTCTACAGTGGCGCCCGAACTAAAAGGGTGTTGGATGATGATTCTCCTCACCCAGGATTTGGTGATTGGTTCTCCTAAAAACCCCAGTCACTCTTTAAAAGGGGGAGTATATAAGGTATTTCTCCCGCCTTCTTCGCATGCCTTCGTGGTGTGGTGGTCTACACACTTAGCGCATAATTGAGAGGTCTGTGGTTCGATTTCGGCGAAGGCGTTGCAAATTTTTCGTTTCTCCTGCTTCCAAAAAATACCTAATGTCTCTACAACATATTCAGTGACATAGATAAACTAGTCGAGTTTGACTACTTTGAATACGTATTGCCCCCTTTATAAATTATATTTTATTGCCCCCTTTATATATTAGGCAGATTTATAAACTAATTGGGGGTAAAATAATCTCAAGGTAACGGACTTGAGATGAAATGGAAGACTTATTTTTATTGATTTGCTAAATTTTTATCTGAAAATGTTCAACTGATTTTTTTATATTTTAAATTGTAGAAATATATTTATAGTCAGTTCAAATTAAACTTTAAATATTAATTTATCTTGAATTTTCTTTCTTTTCTTCTGAGAAAGCATATGTAAGCAAAATTTGAAAATTTGCTGACTGTTAGTATCTTTCCATGATTAATCCAAAAATGAAGAAGAGTCTTCATTTGTGAATAACTGAGGATTTCACACCATTTTCAATTTCAACAAGTCAACATGATTTCTAAATCATGCTCTCATTACATCTAAATCACCCATTATGCCCATAGATAATGAAAAATTGGAGAAAAAGGAAAAACAATTATGCTTGTATCAGTAATTTTTAACAAGATCAATACCAAATTAAACAACGTAGCACTGTCTTGCAAATTATTTAATTCTTATAAATTATTCACTTTTTACTATTATTGATATAAACTAATTAATCAATTGAATCATAACATATATACAAGACAGTACTTTGGGCTTTTCAAAATGTACATTATGAAACACATAATAATTCATATTTTTCCATACAAAATGTCCTAAATGTGAACATTTATCTATGTTTTAATGCTATCTTAAGGTTCTTCTAATTCCACCAAAAATGCATGCAGTTTTCTATGATGAATCTATTGTATATCATGCGAGGAAAAAGGGAGAGACAGAAACCCCAAAAGAGAAGAAAAATAAAGTAATAAGCTTTAAATAATAAAATCAGACAATCTTCCAATAAAAAAAAAATAATAAAACAAATTAGTGCTTCTGGATATCAAAATAAAATATACTAAAATCATGCCAGGGATAGCAGCAGCGAAAGCAGCAGCAACGACTAAAAGCTGTGTGCACATTTTTGATAGGCGTGGGAAATAACAGACCTGAAGACAGCAAATTTGGCCTTTGTTTTCGTGGTAGACTGCCGAAGCCACTGCTACCACTTGCTAAGCTATCCCCACTGTAATCTTCACCTTTTTTATCAGCAGGCAACTGGATCTGAGGCTTGTCTCGAAGAGGTGCAACAGCACGAACTGAAGGGCTAAAGAATCACACAAACACGTAAGTTTTTTTAAACATAAAAAATATACCAAAGTAAATATGCATATACAAAACATGAAGAAACTGAACTTCACACTACAATAATTTTTTTAATTAAAGCTTTCTTATTTATTAAAAACATTCAGCTAAATTTTATTCATTTTTTGAAACTATAATTTACAGCATTCTTTTCTTTTCTCAGGCACACTGTTTTCTGATGATTAAATTACAAATGTAACAATTATTTAGGGCTTAGTTTTTGCACTCTTAATTTTCTCACAATCTTTAAATTTCACAAACTAAATAAATAAAATTAAAAGAATTTAATGCACAGCTGACAGCATTAGCAAAGACTCCAGACTACAGTAAAATTTGTCAGTAGTGAATGCACGAGTGACATTTTTAAAACTTTGAAAATAAACATGCAAGGTCTTTTCAATTAGCCATTTGTTAATTTTTAACTAACTGTTAAATGTAAAAATTTATAAAAACAAAAAAATGAATAATTTAAAATACTTCTTGTAAAATATATGCATATTTAATTTGAAATTTTCATTTTATTATTCAAGCAAAAATATCACTAAATCTACTAATAATTGAAGCAAACATTTTAAATCACAAATAACTGTAAAGGAAATTAGAATCTATAAACAATATTATAGCTTCATGAGATTTATGGATTCTGATTTCTGCAGGGAAATTGGGGGAGGGGGAATTCTCAACAGACATATAATCATTAACAAAAACGTTTAATACATTTATAAATTGAAAATATTAAAATTTTTATAAGTAGACTGCTTTGCAAGCTAAGTTTTGAATTAGATAATCTTTTCATACATCATGGTTCTTCATTCACCTGCAAGTTTACTTTTTTACTGAAAACAGCTTCAATACAGTCAGCCCCTTTATATTAAAAAGGAACAAGGTATTTTGCTGTGTCAAAATGCACAAACATTGCATTTCAAAAAAGGTTCAAATGGTTGGAAGCTGAAATAGGAAGGTTGCGTTCAATTAAAAAATGAATTAAATAGCATTCATCTTTTATACCATCTGTTTTATGATCCTTTATGAAGAAATTAGGTATTTCTTTTGATTTTAGAGCATTTTTTTTATCATTTTAAGAAAATACATGCAATTTAAAGGCATCATTAGCACTATATGCAACTGAAAAATCTCTATTGCTAGTGCAAAGTGGATGATTTACAGAAACTTTAAAGATGCTTTAATCCATGGAAATTCTCTAGAACACGAACTTCTGGCTTGATTATTTTTGCCTCTTATTCTGATTATTATAATTCACAAATTTAAAAAATTTCTAGTTTAATCAGGACTCACAAAGACCACACACTACTTTTTCTCACTATAATATAACTGAACAAGACCTGCAGGGTAAACAAGACTTTCACCGGGACTAGAAAAATAAGAATCAGAATTTGCTGAACTATGATTAGTTACTATTTAAAATCAGCAAGACCATCAACTTAACACGTGATGTCACAAGCATTTTGCCAATCAGATTAGCAGAGGATAAGTTAGCTCTGTTTTGCACACCACTTTCCTTAACACCCTTTCGTAAAATCCGTAAATTTTCAGTATTTTCTGTAGTTTGCAATTATGCATTAGCAATATGAAACAAGACTACATATTATGATAAACTAAAAAACAAATTACATAATTAGAAAATGTTTCACTGATCAAAATACAATATTTAATGTCCATTTCATTAAATAAATTCCAAGAATATTTTGAAATACAGTTGCAACAAAATATTTATTTATTTTTTAAATCCTAAAAGATTTAAAAATATGTTTAAGTTGTATCCTACCATCTTAGTTAAAAAAAAAAACATTATTTTACAGCTCTAACAACTTAAACTGACAGCAAATGAAGAAATATTGAATAAATAGTAAAAATATGAAAGTTTTCCCTTCCTATTTATTTACTGACATACAGAATTTTTAGTCTAGTAAATTAATTATATCTAATAATTTAAAACATTGCTAGAAACCTGAAGAAAAATTTTAATAGGCCTGATTTTAAGATCTGGATGCAGCATAAAAATTTTGTTTCCTTTTTTTAAATAATTTAAATTAGAAATTTAATATTATTGACTATTTAAATCCTATTTATTTGCCCAAATGAAATATGGCATAAGTGCCAGTAACTGAAAACTCTTAATGCTAAAATCACACACATCTGCAAGTACTTACAGCAGAACTCCAAATCAGATGAGTTTGTCAAGTTTGGGAGTGAGGAAGTTTATAAAACTGAAAGTCTGTATGTGAAAAAAACATAAAAGTTTGGTACTAGCACAACTTTTTATAAAAATGCAGTCAGTAAAATGGAGGTTTAGAAAAATACAAATCCACAGCATGTAAATTTGCTTACGTTTTAAAACAAGGATCACCAGCCAACAGAAACATCTCTATGGTGATTTGAAGCATCGAATTATCTTGCCTGTGTTTTGAATCATAGCCTTCTAAAAGATACCTGCGGGATGTGAGACCAGCTCCAGCAAATTCCGCAAGGTTCATGTTAGCAAAGCCCAGCTTTTCAAATGATCGGCCACCTCTTATTTCCTGCAATAAAGTTTAGCACCATATAATTTTGGGAGAAAAACAAGTTTAATTCTAGCAATGAAAAATCATAAAATAGCTATTACATAAAAAAAGAAAAAATATTACGCCGTATGATGTCAATAAAAAAATCCAGGTACTTACATATTATCTTGTCAACTGTTGGCGGAAATTTCGGCAATGGTCGCCAATCATTATTGAAGAATTCTAAAGGACACTGCGATCCATAATTTGGGGTAAAACTGCTCTAATTGGCTGGTTGACATGATAATACGTAAGTACCAAAATTTATTTTTAATAGTAAGTCTTTAACAAACATTTATGATATGATTAAAGAAATAAAATAGGCAAAACCATAAGCACATATAATGGGAATGCAAACAAATCTCATTAGGATATATAAAACAGCATTCAGAAATCAGCCCATCTCCAATTACCTGAATTATTAAAAAAAAAAAAAAAAAAAAAAAAAAAAAAAAAAAATTAATGTATTTCATGGACATTAAAAATTCTGATTTTTGCAATTTCAAAAGACAGTATTTCAAAGACTGTATAACTAAGTAGTTTATGGAGACTTCATCTGATGGTTTAGCTGTAATAATTAATCACAAAATATAATTTCAGAATTGTAACAATATATTTCAGTATCTCTATTCTTATATTACACATAAGCACCTTTACTAATGATTACACAAGTATTCTTCAGTAATGAACAAACAATATTTTTTCAACTATTACACATATTAATTTAAACATATTTCACTAATAACTTCACCACCAATGGCAGTTTGGATAGATCGCTGAACACTGGCAGTTCAACCTTCATCTCAAATGACTACATGAAAATTTAACATAGTTCCCTCCCCATTCTCTTATATAACCCTCCCTGATTGCATCTCTTTTCTTTGGCAGAAAGCTGTCATATTGCTCTGATATGTTCAAATAAACATTACACAAAATTTGGCAACCATTTGGTCTGATCTTCATATGTGACTGTAACCATATCTGTCCATAAATAACTAACTGTACATGCCTTTCAGCAATTTTGAGAAACCGAAGGCAATGGAAATTTTTTGTGACCACAGGAAAGCTAGACTGTAGTGAGCATCAGTTTTCAGTTTTTAGTTCAGTTTACTTTGGAGCACTGAGAGATCTTACGCGTGAGCTTCAGTCTTTATATGCATCTTGTATTGCTCTGTGAGTAGTTTGAAGTGATAAGTACTGATTGTCTGTCATATTGAGGAGAACTGCACAAGTACTTTTGTGAAAATGTCCAGAGCCGCAAAGTGTTTCCTTTGACAAAATTAATTTTATTACGCTATTATCGTTTCAGTGTGCATTCAATCCATTACAAACCTGTGTGCATATAAAAATATGGCATCCTTTAAGTTCCAGGTGACTAAATGAGCAAGCTGTTCATGAAAGCTTTAATTTTCATATACAGCCTGCTCTGGATAAAGTAGTTTTATGCCCTACATTTTAATATTCTGAATAATAACAAACAAAAAGGCAGCCTTTTGGAATGAATTTTAATTCTGAGTGAAAAAAAATATTTTCAGTATATATATTCTTCCCTCCAAAATAGAACATAGGAGAGAAACTTTTGGTTTTACATTTTTAATTCCATGATTTATTAAAAAAAGTAATGGTACTTATGTATTAACGCAACCGGACCAAAATTCGCATAAATTGCCAAATTTGGCGACCCTACTTACGGCAACGCTACGTGTTATACGTAGTTTTGTAAAAAGAACATTTGGAGATTCACAAAATTTTCCTGCATTTTCATGCAAATTTTTGTAATTTATGAGAAAATAGCAGTGTAGATGGATAAAGTCAAGAGTGTGCGCAATGCCATTTTTGTGCAATTCTGGGATGTTTTTTTAAGTAAAAATAAGTCGATATGTACATGGTTAGGCGAATACGGTTTTGAATCGGTGCTAAAAGCAATAGCCAAAAGATTTCCGCCGAAAAAATAATTCTGCAACTTATTCAAATTCGAAACCGGAAGGGTTTAATTGCTATTTTATATTTTAAAACAAAATAATATAAAAAACTGTAATTAATAAATGTACATTTTCTTTCTATTCATACTTTTTTACTCAAACTTACAAATCGCGCCAACCTGGTTGCGATAATACGTAAGTACCAAAGTAATTCTGATTTTTAATCATTCACTAAACAAGATTGAAAAAATTACAGAGTAATCTAATTGTTTTAATAAAAATTTAAACTAAAATACCTGGTTTCACAAGAATTCAAAATGAAATATCTTTTTAATTACAATAATGTAATAAATATATTTCAGGGTTTTATCAATGATACTAAATTTCTACTATAATCTAAGCATATTTCAATTCGATAACAAACCATAATTAATAGACATAATAATGCAAATACTACACAACATTTTATAAAACTGCATACCTTTCGTACAGACACCCTACATATACATGGCTCTAATACACCAGTACTTGCATTAGCAGTCATTTTGCAACCAAACTGAAATTTTGTATCCCATTTGACACAATTGTTCTTTACCTCTTGCCTGAAAAAATAATAATCTTTATTAGAACAGTACAAAATATCTAGAAGTTAATAACGCACAATTTATTACCAGCCCCTCCCACCAAAAAAACTTAAAATAATTACAAAATTATACATGCAACTACAGCACATGTGTCAATATCTCAGATAGCAGTTTGATCAGTGCATTAATTACACTTTTATGAAAATGCAGTTAAGTTGTTAAGTATAAAGCCTGTTTTGTCTTCCTTTCCTTTAGCCTGCTATAGCTGATTTCACTGATATGCTGGTAGCTGCAGATTTGTGCAGAATTTGATTAAAGACAGCCTTGTGAGAAGAATGTTACTTTTTAATTTGTATATTGTTAGTCAACAGTGATTGGCACAGTCTGAATGGAAACAACAACGCGAGTCATTGGTGAATGACAAGCACTTGCATATTACAACTACTGTTTAATATATCCTGCCCATAGCCATGGAAGAGATATAAACAGAGTCATTTAAAATACAAGCCATGCAGGAAAAGGCACACAGATGCATACAGTGAAATGCAGTAACTTTACTCACTACAAGACTCACACAGTAACTGCCATTATGAACACCTGATTCATGCTTCAGAAGATGCAACCAAATATGGGGAGAAAAGGAACGAAAATGTTCCACAAGGAATTTTATGTACCTTCTCAAACTTCTCATATTTCCCACCATGGCAAGATGGGTGTAAATGTGTTCATAAGGATTAAACTGAAAGATCTATGGACAGAGAACTTTTTGACCTTCTTTCTTCACTTCCATACCCATGCATATCAAGAATAGAATGTTTTCGAAACAGTACAATATGTATTTGCCACTATTCAGCTGCAAGTATATTCCATGGAACTTGTCATCGATTTCTTCAGAACATTTATTCGACAAACTAATTTAATGAAAAATGTATCCATTATCCAATTACAAGGTATATTACGGACAGCTGCTCCAGCTGAATGTTTCATCAAGTCAGTGTCTCCATTTCATGATGTGTCAAGGCTCGAGGGTAGTGAAAAACTCACATTTCCCAACTTTTAAGCATACTTTTTGATTATCTTGCCCCCTCCCAGAATTGCCTAGAAAATAATTCAAAGGCAATGCATTATTTGGCCAAAATAGGCAAACCATGACATTGTTAAAATGTATTCATGTGACAACCCACATATGCATGTACACGTAGTAGAGAAGCACAAGTCATTAGTGTTTGTTTTTGTTGAATTGAGTGCATTTTTTTTTTTTTTTTTTTTTCCTTGTAAGGAACCATAATAGAACAGCAGAATTTGCCAGCTGATTAAAGAAAAAGCATTGCAATTCTTCAGAAAAGTGGCATTTTGCCTAATAGTACAGAATGCATAAATTTTCTTTCCATGAAGTTGCACTTCGTAAAGGATTGGATTTCATTGATCAAAATAGGAATCTGTGCCATTCTCTAATTTTTTAAGTGGAAACAGATTGCTGTGTATATGTGAAAACGTCAGAGCCATGCCAAATTTATACAATTCTTTGTTTTTCTTAAGGGAAAACAGAATGATGTATTCATGGAAAGAATGATAGTATGTGCAGTGCCAAGTTTCTGAAAATATCCAAATTATTATTATTATTTTTTTAAAGCTAAAAGAGATTGACCTGAAGAGAACAGTGGGAAAAGGGTCAAATGTTTTATTGTGCATGTCTCTTGCATTTTCAATTTGTTTAATTGGTTATTTTAGGTAACTCTTAGTAGGCCACTATTTTTAAAAATAGCTGTTGTCTTTTGTATCATAGTTTAGGAAGGAGGTATAGATAATTAGAAATTACCCTTTTTAAGTTAACAGCATTTCTTAAGATAAAATCATCATGTAATTAGCAACCATAATAGATACAGGGTTTGTCTGGGAAGTAGTAGGACTGATTTTTCCCACTAAAACTTGGGGGAATGAGGGGGATGTTAGTGTGTTGGTTGAGTTGTGGGAGATCTTAGCTACCGGTGCACCAGTCACCTCCAAGCCTTCACCAATTGTAGATCGAGTTTAAGGTGAACTTGTTTAAGGTGCCTTGTCATCTCCACAATGAATCGTTTGTTAATCGTTACATGGTGAAGTTTTGCGTCAACTTGGGTAAAACGGCAAGTAAGACCAAAGATATGATCGAGACTGCTTAAGGGAGTGATGCCATGGCTCGATTAAAATGGTATCGAGTGGTACAAATTGTTTCGGGAGGAAGACAGCAAGCTGAAGATGAAATTGATACTGATCCATCATTTTTGACTGCAAAGAAGTGGTTCACAGAGAGTTTGTACCACCTGATCAGACTGTGAATGCTGCATTCTACATGGAAGTACTTAAAAGACTCAGAAAATGACTTGTATGCATCCGTCCAGGGAGACTCAATCACGACAATGTGCTGAGTCACACCGCCTTTGCTGCATGGTTTTCCTGACCACACATGGCATCACACAGCTTTTCCAGCCAACCTTACAGCCCAGATGTCGCTTTTTCAGACGTCTTCCTCTTCCCACAACTGAAGAGGGTCATGAAAGGACAGCACCACGGCTCGATCCACGCCATTCAAGAAGCCGTAGCAAGGGAGCTAAAGAGCATTTCAGTTTCTGTGTTTCAGGGAGCCTTCAATGATTGGCATAGTCGCTGGAAATGTATTGATGCAGAAGGAACATATTTTGAAAACCATGATATATCAAAATTGTTAATAAGTATTTAAAAAAAATTTCAGACCTACTGCTTTTCGGACAAACCCTGTACAGGATGAAGTTCAGAAGATGAAATGAGAAGTAAAAATAAATAAAAATATGAAAACAAGTCTTAATTACACAATCTGACAATATATTTATTAGCTCATTGTGTCTTATCTTAAAAACTATGCGGCGATTAATGCCAATATTGCCACCTTGACTCTGACCCAGATTTTTAGATTGAAGTGTGCCCCATGGATTATCGCCAAGTTGTTGTTTCATTTATGGTAATCTGAGTAGTTGAATACTATGGAAACCCTATTATCCATTTACATTAGTAAATGGTTGCGTGATTGCGGTGAATTTGAATGATGGGACGAATTTTGGGTAAGAAGTATGTTGTTATTTTGCGGTTTACACGGTAAAATGGCTGAATGTTGTAATATTAATTTGAAGTTCCTGCACAATTTGGAATGAAAGGGAAAAAAAGACTTAATTGACTGGTGTGTAAATGTTTACTTAGTTGCCATTATAAGTATTCTGTTTGTAGGAAGGAAATGTGTATGGTTGAACGTCAAAGGATACCTGCATTACGGAGGATATTTTTTACTTTTATTTTTGTGAATTTATATGGCGATGCCAGTATACAGATTTTAGTTCAGACAATTTCAGGAAGTTTATGGATGCTGTTAAAGAATTTTGTTTGACTGAAGACAAGGAAATTTGTAATAAGGTAAGTGGATATTTCCTTTGTGTAGTGCTAAGATGAATTTCCTTTTTTTATGTTATTTCATTGATTGATTTAAAATGTAAGTTTATTGAGATTATATATTTTTGTTGGCTGCTCCTTTGACTTTTTAAGTGAATATGGATCGATGTGTACATGGACAAAGTCAACGGAGTGCGCAATGCCTAGTTTGCACAATTCTCTGTTTTTTTTTATGCGTAAATAGGTCGATATGAACATGGATACCGAGTTCGTGCAACTTTGACTTGTTATTTTGGATTTGTGTAGCGGAGATTTTTGGTGCAAAAACTGCCACTACACAAAGCCAAAATAACAAGGTCAAAAGAATTGCAGAAACTCGGTGTCCATGTACCACCAAAAATCGCCAAGGGACACTTGTAAATATATTTTTACTGCAACCTTTTCTAGATTTAGTCTCTATGAATATTTTGTGAGGGACAAAACTAAAAGCTTTAAAAAAAAAAAAAAAAAAAAAAAAAAAAAAAAACTTAGAAATTAAAGAAAATTTGCAGTGGGATATGCATATATATATAATATATCATTCCACAAAACAAGCTTTCACACTTTTCAAAAATGATTTGGCACCATGTGTGATAAAAGATGCAAATATTTTGAAAATGTTAAATCCAAATAAATCATAAGTGTAATGTGTTTATCTACATTATCCCACAGAAATTTTTTTTTATAGACTTATAAAAAAATCTTAATATAAAAATTTATATCACACATACTATCATAACATATGGCAATCAGAATAGAAACAGAAAAATACTCACTTTTGAGATGATTCAGTGAAAGTTCCCCCATCTACAAGCCTGATTTTTGCAAAAAGGATTCCATTTACAAATGGAACAGCAGATAGTTCTTGTAAAACAAGATCTACTTTAAACTTGTACTTCTTTTTCTTTAACATGAAAGACATTCTTACTTTGCACTTAAATTTGCAAAATCATTTTGTAGAACAGATCTGTTGGTAGAGAAAATTATTTATGAATAAGTAAGCATTTAAATGAAAAATAATAATACATGCTATTTTTGATTTATGACAGATGGCAATAATAAATGTGCTGCATAGTTAAAAAAGCTATTTTTGCAAGTGTAGACATTCTATTGGCTTTGTAGATGCAAACTGTTATTGGATGATGGAATCTGCAAGGAACATTATATCGAATAATAACTCATGCGTTTTAAAACAACAAGTAATACCAAGAGCGCAAATAAATCTTGATTAGCTGGGCTAGCTTAAAATTATTTTAACCATCTGAGCGGCCCAGATTTTTGGATTTGTCATGAAGATCTGTATTAGTTAAATATGTATATTTACCTATTTCAATCCCTATTTTCATAAACTTGCATTCATCAAGATGGCATTTATGTTATTAATAAAAGTAAGAAAGCAAAATATCTTAAATCATAAGCTAATATTTAGCAAGTGACCAAAAATATCATGATTGAATAAAGCTGGTCATGGTGCTCAGAGAGTTAATACCTTACAATAAAATTTCATACAAATATTTTCATTATCACATACAAAATTTCCACTGCTGCTGCTGCTGTTGTTCTTACGTTCAAATTTTCATCGTTTTTGACCATTTTATATGCCTATTGAATCTTTGTATTAGATGTACACACCCCATATTCATACACACACAAAAAGTAAATATTTTTAAAAAATCAATGTGAATTTGAAAATCTTTGGCAAAAATGAAAAAATATTGCTAATATAAGAAAATGTGATGACAGAAAAAATGTAACATGTTAATATAAATAAGAATGGCAAAACTTTGGGGAGATATCTTGCTTGATCTGCAATTCAGCCTCGGAGGCTGCTATAATAAGGAAGTATAAAAAAATAATGTAAGTGAATTAATTATTATAACTTAAATAATTATTGCTTAACATTAAAACACACAACATAACTGGGTATGTTTCATTCATAGTAAATGAATATATAGAAAACTGTTGATAGGTTAAAATTTACCCAAGATAAACAGCACGGGAGTTACTAAAAAATTATTTTCACAATTTATTGTGAAATATATAAATTTACATCAAGAGTGAAAAAGAATAATTAGGATAGTGCTATTGTTTGAGCATTATTAGCTATGCTAAATACTCTAAAATAAACTACAATATGATTTTGTAATTTAGTTCTTAAAAGTTCTTATAATTAGTTTTTGGAACTTTCGCATTTAATAAACATTTTAAACTTTATATTCATGGAATTAATTAAAGGTGCACGGTTTTACTTCAAACTACGAATATAAAAAATTAACCTACATCGTTCCATGAAAATGAAAACTATTTTTCACAGTATTTCTAATTATTTGCACCCTCACAAAAAAATATTTATGTGGGAACCTATATACAGAGTGTCTCAGAAGGTCATTGCCAAACTTCTGGCCTGTCATACCATGACAAACAAGGTTTACATAGGAACTTGTGTCCGAAAATGCAAATATCGACTGCTAGGGGGCTATGTTCGCAAGCGTAGAGGGGGAAAAAAGAAAGGATGTAGGAAGAGAATATGACTTTTATTAAAGAACATGGTTAAATCAGAGATGTTCAAAATTCCTTCTTACACCACAATGCATGCATTACAACATCCATGCATGGATTCACGGTCCTGTTTCAAATGGGCAGGTGTGCCACAGACACATGCCACCGTATTCATGATCCTGGCAGAGATTCATATCCGATGGTCCTGTTCTCTAATACATCATGGACTTCATGTATCCTCACAGATAGAAATTCAGGGATGTCAGGTCAGGAAATCGTGGTGGTCATGCAACTGGTCTGCCTCTGCCAATCCAGCGATCAGGATATGCCCCATTCCCGCACAATGCTGCTAAAATGTACAGGTGCTCCATCATGCTGAAACAAGATGTTTCTGTGTGTAATGCTGGAATGTCAACCATCAGATCTAGCAACACTTTTTCTACAAAATGTCCATAAAGAACAGAGTTAATGAACTGATTCATTTTTCTTTAGCAATGTCCTTCCCTGAAATGATCACACTTCTCACTTTTCTATAGCGAACATTGTCCTCTTGCAGTCGCCAATTGCATTTTCAGACATAAGTTCCTATGTAAATCTTGTTTGTCATAGTATGACAAACAAGCATGTTAGGTTTGGAAATGACCTTTTGAGACACCCTGCACACATGATGCATCCCCTTCAGATTGCTTTCCACCTCTCCAGGCATCTTCACCATTCCAATTGTTTTTACCCTCGTAAAAAGCGGCAAAGAAATAAGTGGGCGATTATGCACTTTACCGAAAATGTTTCCAAAGAAAAGGCATCATTCATTATAGAAAATTATGTTTGAACAACCAACGAGATGACATTATGCTTTAGCGACAACTCGGTAGCGAAATATTATATGAAATTAACCTTTTATCTAAATTAAAACATCAATATTTAGATTTATTTACTATTATACTTCCTTTCTTGCGTTAGGGTTGCCGCAATTACTTTTGGCAGCACTGGCATCAACAATAGTTTGGCGATTTTTTACGAACCTCGAAACCGAATAGTACCAAACAAACTATATTTTTACACCACAATTAACTTATTAAGATTTTCCTGTTTGTCTCGGTAAATTAAGAAGGGGAAAGGGGAGACAATTTTCAGCCATTTAGAATTAATTTAGAGATTCAATTTAAGTATAAAGTTCAAATTCCTAAAAGTTCATAAGAAAAATTGATAACAAAAAAAACTTATCTGTTACGCAGAAGACTTGAAGAGTGCCTTGAAAAGACTGGTGAGCCCTCGCATTCACGGAATAACCACATCCTTTGGAAGGAAAACTAAAGCGACGTGAACACCTACAACTGGTTTCCGTAGCAGAAAATTTTTCACACTGAAAGGCAGGAGAACTGCTTGTCCCACACAGCTGCCGGCATAGACTCTCAGCTCCACAAGGGAAATCATAGACTATGAAGCTAGGTATTTTAGAGAACGGCTGACGCAGGTTTTTCATCAGTCCAAGCTAACCCAATTCCTTCCTTCTGTTTTCAAGTCTAAGTTCAGAGGATATCGTCCTGGGTTTTGCCGATACAGATATAGAGCAAAGTCTCTGTTAATTTTTTGTTATTCACTCAACAGTTTTTTTCCCTCGCATTTTTGCGAAACCCGCGGCCGGGGAGCATAATTGCTGCTCCCTGCCGGAAGCACTGCTCGATGACGAACTACATCTTTTTCTCCTTTCTACCGCTCATCCCAAGAGCAAGTTCAAAGTCCAAGTCTTAGTCAAAAAGTGATTCAAACTACAAATTTTCTTCGTCTCCTTCACAAACACGGGCTCCCATAATGGCATTATTTATCGCTCCCTATTTGGGACTAAAATTTACGTTTCAACCCCTGAATGACAGAAACTAGGGTGATCACACATGCGCGCCGCTCTTCACTTAGCCAATGACTGGACACCCCGATCGCCAAAACCAGATGACTTAAATCGAAGCTTCAGTGGCAACCTCTGACCCCTCCTGTCACGTACTTCCTGTCCTAAAGGTCAACTGCAACAACAAAAGAAATTTCTTCTAGAACATTCTAAATGACGAATTAGTCTCAAATAAATGCTGCATGGTGATGACAACAGGGGCATAAATGGGGAGAACGGCATTGGACTTGAAGTGTCTATTTTTAAAATAACTATGCTTATAAAAAAAAAAAAAAAAAAAAAAAATCAATATATACTCTTATTGAGATAATGCTTAAATTAAATTCTTAATATTTCTTTTTTCCAAGGATTTATAAGAAAAGTAAACTCTTATTATATTAACTTTGCTGTTTCTTATCACTCTTATGTGAGAAGATATCAAACAGCCAATGAATATCAGAATTTTATACATCCATGAAGTTAAGTCAGACACATCTCCATCACAATTTTCATGCAGTGACCCATGCTATAAAGACACTATGTACTTATAGACAGTATTCATGCCTATTCTGGGACTTGAATTCAGGCTTAAGGCCATAAGAGGAACTCTCCTAACAATAGGTCAAAAGAGGAATTTTTATCAATTCCTTTTTACAGGAATATATGATATTTACAGGAACTGAAAATTGCATTTCCTATTATAAGTAGGCAACGTAGCTTTAACACGCCGCCACATACTCTCTATGGTATTTATATGACAGCCAGACTTGCTATCCACAAAATTTATACTATGGTTCACAAATAAATGTTCAAAATCTTCTTTTTTTAAATCCATGTATGATTTCGAGCCATCCGAAAAAACAGTTGTACCAGGCTCAATCCACTCTTTAATACACTGCATCAGCGTTTCCTTACTTCTATCATGCACAGCCACTAAAAATAATCTCCCAGACCCTCTTTCCACACCTCCAAATACCCCCTGCCTCTCAACAGCATGGCCAGGATGGGTACTATTCGGTTTTGAGGGCTGTAAAAAATCGCCAAACTATTGTTGATGCCAGTGCTGCCAAAAATAATTGCGGCAACCCTAACGCAAGAAAGGAAGTATAATAGTAAATAACTATTTAAGATTGATGTTTTTAATTTAGATGAAAGGTTAATTTCATATTAATACTCTTTTATTATTATAATTTATTATAAAAAAGGCAAAAGATGGCTGAATGCAAGCATAAGAGTAAATAAACTATTTCAGATCATTATTATTAATTTACATAAAAATTGCTAAACATAACATAACGATGAATGGATGGCCTGCAATCGTTATTTCGCTACCGAGTTATCGCTAAAGCATAATTTCATCTCGTTGGTTGTTCAAATATAATTTTCTATAATGAATGATGCCTTTCTTTGAAACAATTCTCGGTAAAGTGCAGAATCGTCCACTTATTTGTTTGCCGCTTTTTACAAGGGTAAAAACAATTGCATTTTTATCAATTTTCTTTTACTTTTTAAATGAAAATAGGTTGATGTGTACACAGATAAAGTCAAGGGTGTGCGCAGTGCCATTTTTGTGCAATTTTGGGATTTTTTTTAAGTGAAAATAGATCGATGTGTACATGAATATTGAGTATGTGCAATTCCACTTTACCCAAAATTATATTGCAGACTTTTCTTTTCATCATGGGCAATTCCCAAATTGTGAATCCATAGGATATCAAAAAAGGATTTAAAAATTAAACTAGTATTTCAATGGCATCTTAGGAAATATAAAATAATATAAACTTAACGCAATCTGAAATCAGCGTGTACGCTAGATTTGGCGCACTGTTGGATGGGCACATTTGCTAGATTTGGCGCTTTTGCGCATACATTTTCGCTGCAATTTTTTTACGGTCCTCAAAACGGAATAGTACCCCAGGATGATATTTCCTTTTGCCGAACTTCGATTCATTAACTTTCACCACTTTATCTTTACCCTTTATCTTCTCAGACACAGAGCATATAAAGTCCAAAATACATTCGTTAATAAAATTTCGCCAGTCACACAACATCTGTGAAGAAAAGTGCACGATTTTGTTATATCACATGTCGTCCTACGATTCAAAGTTTTGAAAGTAATGATAAGAACTTTCTCCAACGTTAACTTACTACACGAAAACCAAGCTCCAAACCTTAAACTCTGCTGACACCCACATACTTTACCAGAAACAATTTGACTGCAAACCCACACAAGTCTATCAGGAACACCATTCTTCATCCGAGTTCTCATATCAGCTCTGCATTTCGGACACACCAAACTCCGTTTTAAAAGTCCCGACTCCCAAAGAAATTCCAAAAATACACTCCAATCCGCATAAACACGCCCGTGAACAAAAGATCGTTAACAACTCCATCTTTCCATACTAAATTTACTCTGCACACAATCTAAAATACGCGACTGAAATCTTCCCACCACGTCTCTCATTGCAACATAGGCCATTTCAAAACACTCACGACAACACGAACCAACGAGCGATTAAACTATTCCACCAAAAGATATTTCAACCTCAAAAGGGTTGCCATACAACACACAATCGTGCCAAAAAACCAGCGCAGAACACATATCACCACATTTGGTGAAATTAGGCCACACATATGATATATAGGAATATACTTGATATACATAGCAATGAGACTGAGAAACACACAATGAAGTTTATAAATTAATGTGTACTGCTGGAAATAGCCGATATTAAAACTCGAAGTATTTTTAAGAATTTGAACACACTTCAAGATAACTTTCAATATAAGGGAACACTTTTTTTATAAAACAAAATATGTTATATAAATGTGAAAAGAAATTTTCAGATTTTTATTTTGCTAAATTTGAATTAAGGATCAATGGAACTCCATCTATGCTATTGAAATTAAAAGTAAAATTTAAAAAAATATATATAATAATAAATAAAATAAATAGTGGAATGTTCTGAGGATTAGGCAAGTATATTTCATCATGAATCAAGATATTTTGAAATATTACATTGCATTTATTAGAAAAATAATTAGATAATTATCTTTATTATTATATAGTGTTTTCCAGACTTCTACTATTAATGGTTGAATCATCTCATTATCAGTTTGTTAATTATAAAAACACGCATTTTAGCCAAATATATATCCATATAAGAGTGATTTACAACTCCTAAGGCAAAAAGGAGAAATTTCTAACAGGGATTATACATAGAAAATACCTTATATGGCAATGGCAAATATTTTTTTTTTAAATATTTATATCCTTTTTTGTATAACAAAGAATTTTGGCTTCCTTTTCATACCATTATTCAAAGCCTCATTCATAAATACTGAAATGCAGTCAAAATAAATGAATAAATGATAGATGATGGATTTTGTCCAAAAAGAAAGGAAACTTTTATACCACCTACCTAAAATAATAGGATTATTTACACACCCTAATCGGTAGCTACTAACGATAAACAACTTTTGTTTAGAAAACAAATGCCTTCGTAAAGAAAAATAGTTCATATTTAAATTAAGCATGAAGAAAACCACAAAAACAGCAATACAGCTAATTCCTTCCACTCTCAGGAATCAGACTGAATGAAACTAGCAATGTTAAAAAATTACAACTATTTGCTAAAGACAGGCTAAATGGAGTACAAAATAACTGAGTATTTCAAATGTACTAGGAAATGAACAGCTACAAAAATCAGAATACAGACTAGCAGGGAAGAAATGAGTTATATATTTATTCACATTACTTTGTTTTCCCCATTATATTTATTTAATATTATTTAGATAAATTTTGTTACAACATTTTGGCAGTTATTTATCTGTATGCAAACTTTTATTCACACAAACAATTTCCATATTTTATTATTCATTCACGGTAGTTTTTATGCAACTGAACAACTTCGATTTGAGTAAGATTTATAATTAGCATTTCGTTCTTTTTTTGCATCTCTCGTATGTTTTTCATAAGGAAAGTTACGTTTACACAGCACATTTTTTATAACTTTTTCCTCCTACGGAATCAAGAAATAAAGGGATTAACTAGATATTCAATCTTTTAATTCGCCATACATGCTTTAGTTTACGAATTTTGTTCAAGAGTTTTCGATAGAATACGCAAGTATGATATTAGAAATAAAATCTACATAAAATCATGATTTTTCAAAAGTCGTAAGGAAGCTTTCATATACCATCACAAATTTCAAAAACATATAATAAAACTAAAGAATCCACACCCCAGTTGCTTGTAACTTTCAATCAAACACTAAAAGAATACAAACGTTTTTAAATTAATTTAATAAAAATGTATCTTACCAGGAATTATTTACAAAACATCGAATACAGGAAACTAATACAAGATTTGAAATTTCCTCAAGCCTACACAATTGTGACAATGACAGATTTACATTTTATCAAAGATATTCGAAGATAAATTTAGCGCATTTTTTTAACATCTTCTGGAAAACTGTTTTCTTCGTCGTAAAATATAAAATTTTAAATGGAAGTTTTTAAGGACTTTCTAAAGGCATATTTGCTAATTTCTCAAAAATAAACTCATACGAATCGCTACTACTGAAGACTGTTTCATCTTCTTCTTCAACAACGTTGACGAAATGAAAAAGTTCAATAAACAATAAATAAAATTTTATAATTTAAGACGATAAAAATTACGTAAATAAAAAGCATTATTACAGGCGAATTTTGGATATATATATATATATATATATATTTATACACTGTGTCGCGCTTTGAATATTTTTCTTCATTGACTCGATAGACCGAAATGTCAGTTATTAAAATCTTAAGTAATTTATTATACAGTAAGCAGTTTATGTCAAATTTGATTTGTAAGTGATTATATTGTTCATAACATTTAAAAATATAATTTTAATCCTAAATTTTGAAATTTTAGCGCAGCATATTATTGCAACAGCGCGATGCTCTGTTTTGACAACTCTACTCAGGAAAGAGAGAGTAGTGGGAGATATACACGCGCTTTCGGTATTTTATGATAATAAATGTGCAAAATTGTTACCATTATGATGATTGAAAGGTGCGCATGTTTATGGAAATAGTATATTTTATTTTTTTACATATTGCAACATAACATAGTATGATGACTGTGAATTATCATCACACCTCTCACACCTTTGATGAACTGCCACCCAAAGAGCAACAGAGATTAATTAAACTTTTTAAACAACTAGATGTCACAAATGATGATCGGATTACTGCTGAAGATTTAGCAGTAGCTTTTAAACAAATGGGTATACCATATCAACCAGAAGGTTGCATTCAAGTAAGAAAATCTATTAATGTATTTAAAAGATTTATTTAGTTTTAATGTATTACGTTTTAAAGTTTCCCATTACAATAAGAGAAAAGAAATTAAGGTGTATACTCTGAAAGTAATATAAAATTCTTGTTTAGGTTTTTAAATTAAATGAGGTTAGGACATCGGTATCTAGAAAAGTATTCTGTATCAGAATCATAGTATTTAATTCTTCAAAAAATTTAAGCCCTAAATTGTAAAGAACCAGTGAAGAAGCACGTTTTAAAGAAACCAATTGAAGTAAATGAAAATCTCTTTTCCTGCATGTATACTCACGAACGGAAACGGAAGATGAATTTGTTTTAAAAGTGTAGTTACATATGTGTTCATCATCGGAAATTAGTGGCTAACATGACATTTTCTTTTGCAAATATGTATAACTAATACTTCATTATAATTCAAAGTTTATAAACTTTATTATCAGTCCCTCACATTCGTCTGTATACTGAATTATCTGAACTAGAGTCTACTATATACTGGCATCGTCACATAAATTCACAAACATAAGAATACAAAATATCCTTTGACGTTCGACCATACGCACTTCCTTCATACAAACAGGATGCTTTTAATGGTCTACTAAGTAAACCTTCATTTACACATCAGTCAATTAATGCTTTTTCTCCTTTCATTCTAAATCGTACAGAAACTTCAAATTAATCTTACCACATTCAGCCATTTTACCATGTAAACCACAAAATAAGCAATGTACTTCCTAACCTACATCCAATACACAATCAAGCCCTTATAAATATTTTCCCATCAGTCAAATTCACCGCAATCATGTGATCAATTGTGTCATAAAAGGGTTTCCATAACATTCAACTACTCAGGTTACCATAAATGAAACAACAACTTAGCGATAATCCAAGGGTCACCCTGAAATATAGGTAACCATATCCTTTACCCTTTTTTTTTTCTATGTCTCTCTTGATTATTACAATTATGTAAATATTAAATTATCAGCAGGTGCAGTGTCTTTTTGCTACTCTGGCATTTTAGCATTGTTATATGGATTCGTACTGGATTGAATGCATACAGAATCAACGATAGCTTGATAAAATTTATTTTTCCGAAAGAAACACTTTGCAGTTCTGGAACTTTCCCCAAAAATACTCGTACAGCTGTTCTCAGTATCACAGAGCAAAATCTGTTACACTTCAGACTACTAAGACTGTTAAACACAATGCAGTACAAAGTGCATCTAAAGAGTGAAGCTTACACAGATATTTCAATACTCCCAATATCCGAGAAACTGATGCTGTTTCTGGTTTTCGGCCGTAAAGAAATCTCTTATACCTTCCACTTTTCGAAATTACTGGAAGGCATATGAAGTCCGGATACGGTTGCAGTAACATAAAGGGTTCAATTACAGGTATTCAATTATAATACCAATTACAGTTATACAGGGACTGGTTTAATCCTAGTATCCAGTGCACACAGGATTTGGCTACTTTTGGTGACTTTATGATGAGCAGTAAAAGCGGGACATATACGATGAATAGTTAACCGGTCATTCAAAGAAAATATACAGTTAACATAGTATATACTATGTATATAGTATATATACTATGTGTGTATAGTATATATATAGACGTTCTTTGGATCATTTTTGGTGTTGGCGATAATTTTCAAAGTCACGCCAAGGCTGCACCGTATACTAGGATTTTACCCAGGGACTTAACCCACATGTCACCAAATTGGTCAATTTTTGGTAATTTCTTGCCAAATTTGGTGACAAAAATTTGTTGACAAAACCATCTCCAGCTTGGCGATCTATTATCAATTTAGACAACATTAGACATTCTCTGGATTTTTTAATTGGTTATGCATTTTATTGAATAGACAAATGAGATTTAGCGAGAAATGTGAATTCTCATAGAGCTGATGAATGAGAGTGACTGATATCTGCATGAGCATTTGATTGTTCTGCAGTCCATATAGAGGATTCATGCTCACAACAGGTCATTCATTACTTAAATTTAATTTTAGACAATGACATTTTTGGTATTCTGTGGTTTCTTATTTTAATTTAGTTATTTCTTTTACTTAATTGTGTTGTTTTGGGGCATTTTTATTACCCATTAATATCTTTTATCACTTTAACTGACTGCTGCAACTTGAAGCAAAGCCAAAATTTTGCTGGAGTAATTGTAGCAAAGATGGCATTATAATGTGGTTGATGTATGAAAAGCACATCAAGTTTGAAACTGGGCAGAATTATATCTTATCTTAGTTAGTTTTTAATTTTAAATAAAAGGATCTGTGTATTTCAAAATATATTCTCATTCATCACTGGGTAGATTTATTATTAGTAGTAGTAATGTTTTAAATTATATCACCTGTATACCCAGCAACCTCCAGTTATCTATATATGCATATGCATGTGGTGCCACCTGTTGAGCCAAATTAAAAGGAAAAGGAAGATTAAAATGAATTTAATCATTAATTAATGTGCAAGTTTTTATAAATGTGGAAGCCTTTAAAGAATTTTATAACTCATATTAATGTCTGTGTGAAACAAATTTAATTCACTGTATGAATAAGATAATTTTAGCTCAAGAAAAATTTAAAGAATAGTTAAAAATCTGATTTATGATAAAAATATTATTAATTTTTTCCCTCCATAGTTTCTGTAATAAAGATTTGCTGTGCTTAATGCTAAATTTCAAAAGTGGCATTGTTTCACTTATATGTATTAAAACACACTTGCAAAGGATGTCATATATTCTTCAGTCTTTAAAAGTGAACTGTAATTTTACAAATAAGAGAGAAAATAACTTGAATAATTGGTTAATCTAGTGAATTTCATCAACTAGCAGAAGATGATTGGACGATGACAAGATTATTGTGAAATGAACATTATCACTAATTGAGAAGAAAATTGAAGTGAGAGAACTAGGTAATTGAATAACAGTCTCAAAGTTGTTATTTTAATTACTCGTCTGCAACAGAATTATTAACTTTTTGGTTTCAAAAAGTGTTTTTAGAATTAATGTTAATTTCTATTCTGAAGCTAAGATTACATATTTTCATGTCTTTACAAATACAAGTTCCTTACTTTTTGTTTACTATTTCATCCTGGATGACAACAACTTAGTGGCAGATGATGATGATATTTTCCCAAACTGATGATTACCTTAATAACAAAGAGTTTGAAAGAAATAATTTACATTCTTTCTTTTAATATCATAAGTTGCTAAGGAAAGGTGAAAGTAATTTGTTTGCAAAACATGCTTCAGTATGAGGGAAGAAAGAGTATTTGCAATTAGAATATGATTTTTCTTTAAAAATGATTGAATGAAAAGGTCTAAAATTATTCTGTAAGTAGAAAATGTATCTGAGTGATAAAATAAGATATTTTCATTTATGTCAAAAAATTTCTAATGTTTGCGCATTCTTAGTCAGTTTTGCTTCAGTAAATTTTGATTTCATAATTAATGGGAAAATAAGAAATTTATTAAAAATCTTATTTTCAAGTAAGTCTGTGAATAGAAGAAGAAAAATTTTAAAAGAAGTGAACATTCTTGTTTTGACTAAAACTGACATTGCTTGTAAGTATCTGAATCTAAAGCAGTATTACCATATTGTGCGATGTTTCACAAATTTAAAGAGAAAAGAAAAAAGAAGTCGTTAATGATTTGAGAATAAAGCACATTAGTACTAAAAGAACAAATTGGCACAAAATGCTGCTAAATTAAAATTTAAGTTAAAAAACTTGAAAACATTGTAAGATTCAACTATCATTAATAAGACCCGAATTTTACCAAGAAAATTAATACATGAACTACATTTAAAAAATTCTTATTTTACACCAGTTTCTTAATTTCTTAGTTTTTTTTTTTTTTTTTGCTTTTATGTAGTTCATTTATTATGTATTAATTTTCATGGTAAAATTTGGGTCTTATTACTGATAGTTTGATCTTACAATGCTGTCAAACTTTTTAACTTAAATTTCCGCAAATTTGTGTTTTTTGATAAACTGTTTGACTAAAATTTATTTGTATGTGATTTTGAAAAATTTTTTGTTACCCCATCATTTCCTTGTGCTATTTTTTGAAACTTGAAAAATTTTTATTACATTGAAAAATGCTTATATGTTAAAATAATGTAGGTATTATAATTAATTAAAAATAAATAAGTAATTTGAAAAAAGCAATTTATATAATCTTAAATAGAAGTTGGCATCTGGCAATCCAGAGATCATAGAGCTGGTACAAACAGATTTTAGTGCCAGTCACTTGTGTTTTTTCACATTTAGTTGATTGCTTTGTTTAAAGTTTGCCAATAAACAATGCAACTGCATGTACCAAATACATTCTATTTTGATGCTTGGTTCTAGTTAAGAGTCACTTTAACCAGAACCAAGCATTGAAATAGAATGTATTTGGAACACCTAGACTCCATACTTCAAAATGAGATCTGCTATTTTTACTTTGTACCGTCATCACCCATGCATACAATTAGCTCAAACATTTATAAAACGAAAGAAATGAAGATAACAGTCCACAAAAATGAACAGAATGATGAGAGATATAAATTAAAATTTTCTTTTAAACAACTACTGAACAACTTTTAAGCAACCGAAAAGTAAAAAATGTTAATTTTTATATGGTTTTTTGCCTTATAAGCATTAATAAATTAATCATGTACAATATGATAATACGTTCTGTAATATAATTAATTTTAGTTTAATTACTAGCCAATTTATTTTAAAAGGAAGAAGTATTTTATCAGAACTAATTATATGGATCAAACAAAATAATATAATTTGATGGGAAAAATATATTTCTCAATGACACTACATAAGATATCTTAGTAGAGTGGAATATAATTGCAGTAGTTTCTTTTGTGAAATCCACTTCTAAAAATTATCTTTATTTATAAGAACATAAATTTACAATAGCTGTTATGAAACGGTTATCTTCACAGAAAATCAAAATTATCTGGAATCATAAGTCTTAAAG